ACGCCGCTCGCCCGCTATTTCCCTAATAACACATGTTGTTCATTTTTATTTCTACACGTTTTTTTTACTCACAAAGATTGTCAAGAAAGCGTGTTTGTCGTGTTCATGGCAAATTTAACTGATCACAAAACACAGATTTACTTTCTTTATTTTGTTTTCCTCATCCAACCCCCATAAATCCCTGTGTGTCCTCCTGCAGCACTCCTGAAGGAAGGACAACAGGCAAAACAAGACAAAAAAGTCTGACGTGTTGAGTAAAAACTGCTATTTTTAGCATATTTTTAGGGCCGATGTGTTGCTACCAGACGTACAGTGTGAGCAGTCAGGTCGCATCTGAGAACTGGGTTGTGCAGTGTGAGCGCATGACTCGTGAGATCTGCCCTGCGAGGAAGTCGTACAGTTTGAGCTGAAGCTGAGTGCTACGAGTGAAAAAGTCGCACAGTGTACGCCCGGCTTAAGTTTGCTAAAACAGCTTTATAATCTAATGCATACAAATAATAAATACAGAAACTACATTTTGCAAAACAGTCAATCAAATCAATAAATGTCCCAAACAGAGACAGACCTTTTAAATGTTAAGTTGCTAGCTTTGTGTGTAAAAGACCAACACTACAGTTCTCCACCCAATGGAAATAACCACTGCATTAATATGGCAAGCCATGAATTGGCTAAAGTCCTTTTTAATGCTTGTTACTTACATATTTTCTTAAATGGCAAACAAGTCTAACCTCTAGAAAACTAATTCATTTAATTGCATTGCAAATGTGTTTAAAATATTAAAAGATGGAAGTTTAGATGGCTTTCTATTAGACATGGTGTTCACTTTTATAAGACAGTAGGCATATGTGCATATCCTTTAGCGGTGTCAGCATGCACAATGTTTGAGCATTTAGGACATTTTTACGGCATCATTTCTCTGCTACTTCTGAGTGACCAGGTATAAATTAAAGTAAGTGACAGCCACTGAGATCTGTCTGTGTCCTTGTGTCCCTCACAGTTAATGAGGAGCGTAATAGGTTCCACTCTGCCTCTCACACGAGTGCCCACTGTAAAGAAATCATCACTATTCCTCTCCTCTGGGTTTTCTCTCTGTCCTCATTCTTTCTCCTCTCCTCCGCTCTGATGCTACTTACTGTAGGTTGAGAACTATATTTGTCCCTCGAATTGCAGAAACACATTAGTTAATGCAGAGCAAATGATTTCTTAGCTAATGCTATATGTTTAAAGATTACATGTAATCAAGAGTACACAGACTTTAATTAGCTTTCAGTACATTCCTTGAGTACAAACTTGTTTGTGTTCTGCACAAATTAAATTGAAAAATGTTTTTAGATTATATTTTATTCATTTTCTTCCAAGCAAAAATGTTTACCAGATGAACTTCATGGAAACCAGTAGTAGAGATTGCATTCCTAAAAGTGCAGACATTTTTGTGTGACTTTCTGAGAATTTTGTTTGATTCTTGACTTTCAGGTTGAAGTTAAACCCAGATCAAAGCAGGTTGGGCTGGTTGAGAGGAGGCTGGGGCCAGTGCTCGCTGTGATGATGTGAAGGATCTTACTGAGTTTAGCTCGGTGCTATCGTATCGTTGACTGTAATCGAGGATTTTAGAATACAGGAGAGCAGAACTAATTCTGACAAACAACAGAAAGTGTGAAATTGGATGAATCCTAAACAGCAAACTATTGCCCAGGAAATAATAAAAGTGTCATAAGGTCAAGTTAAAGTCCCATTAGTTGTCACACACACAGGTGTGTTTGCGAAATTTATTCTCCGCATTTGACCCATCCCCTGGGGGAGCGGTGAGCTGCAGACACAGCCGCGCTCGGGAACCATTTGGTGGTTTAACCCCCCAATCCAACCCCTTAATGCTGAGTGTCAAGCAGGGAGGCATTGGGTCCCTTTTTTTTTTTCAAAGTCTTTGGTACGACCCGACTAGGAATCGAACCCCTGATCTCCCAGTCTCAGGATGGACACTCTACCACTAGGTCACTGAGACAGGTCCGATGTTTAAACTTAAATGTTTAGTGTTCTCTTGTGGGGAAGACATTATAATACTGCTGTTTTATTGTAAGATTTTATGAAAATGATTATTTTGTTATCCTAGAAGATGTAACTTGTGTCCCAAAAGATTCAGCAGACCTTGTTTCTTATCATACTGTTCTGTCATGTAGTTTTTTAGCCCAGATTTGTAAAAAGTATATATTTTAACACATTTTTGTATGTTTTTTGGGAACCAGTAAAGCTTTTTTACGTGCACTAAAAAGTACTCTAAATTTGGAGTTTATTAGGGTTTATTGTGTGTGTGTGTGTGTGAATATGTCAGATATTGTTCAAGTGTGTGTGTGTGTGTGTGTGTGTGTGTGTGTGTGTGTGTGTGTGTGTGTGTGTGTGTGTGTGTGTGTGTGTGTGTGTGTGTGTGTGTGTGTGTGTGTGTGTGCGTTCCGGTGATCTATGACAGGATTTGACAAGGTTACAGTAAATGGAAGATTATTCAAACATTGAGCTCAGCGGTCCTCCTCCTCCTAGCTTACATTAGTCTGAAAATGTTTTTCACCCTAAACGTGAAAGAATGAATACAAACCAGAGATTGAAATATCTTCTTTCCTGTTATTGTTATTTTTTAGATTTTTGATATTTTTGTGAACATGGACGTAATTTTCACTTTAGAAGTGGGGGGGACAGGGGTTGGGGGGGTGGGGCGGTATCTTTACAGTATGCTCTAATGGGAAACAGGCTTCAACACAAACGGTTGTTTTCCGCTTGGTCCTAGAGCTCAACCAGTGTAAATTTAATATAGCGTAATACTGTTTTTGGATGGTTAAAAGTGCAGGGGTCAAAACTTGACTTTGGAAAAAGTGGGGGGGACACGTCCCCCCTGTCCCCCCCCAAAATTACGTCCATGTTTGTGAAGATTTTCCACATGAAAACTTAACTGTTAAAGCTCCAAACGGACTTTGTGTCCACCACAACTCCTATGTCTTTTTGGCTCGCTGTAACTCTACTCCTCTTTTGCATAATACCCAACAGCTGGCAAATGGATGGAGCAGCTACACCTGTCTGTCCACCTTTGTGTGTGTGTGCGTGTGTGCGTGTGTGCATGCGTGCATGTGTGTGTGCGTGTGTGTGCGCACATACACAGGTCAGTACTTTGCCTCTCCCCACCTGTTCAAATGTTCCTCTCGCGTTTGTCAACTGAAACAATGATTATGTTCCCAGGATTCTATGAAATATTTGAATATGGCTTACGGATGCAAATACGGATTTGTTTGTTTGTCCTTGTTTGGGGTGTGGAGTTTGATGAGTAATAGTTGCAAATGTATTAACAATGTTTTTCTACCAAGCCATGGGTGTCATTTGAAACCTTTAAACCAGTGACAAGCCATGGTGAGATATTTAGTTATGCTGATAAAGGTTTTCAAACAAAATCAATAATTAATTTTGATCTATTTATTTATGTTCAGCAGTACACCCTGAGACGCCCAAACAAAAAATGAGGACGTAGAGTCTGCCTGCAACGGAGAAACAATAAAAATGTTTGCAGTCCATTTAAAGAAAGTACACCTTGTTCCATTTTGTCCAGTACAAGTAAAAATAATCCTCCTTTTTACAAAAAACATATCATGCTTTTACCCTGATTCTTGGTTAAACAAGGTTGGTTGGATTTTTATTGGTTCTCTCATTTAAATTTAAAGTTTGTTAGCATCAAAATAACCTTTTATGTGTTTCCCCTTGACTGATTGTTTTAGTTTTCCTGTTTCATTTTTGAAAAGATGAATCTTACTGTCAACTATGGCTGATATCCCTCCCCTGTGTCTGAAATGAAAGTAGCTTTAATGAACAGTTGAGTACCGGCACTTTCCCCCGTCTTTAGTAAGTGCACAAGAAGTAGAACTTTTTTCATCTTTTGGTTCTTGTAAATACTTTAGGTTGCTGGGAATCTGTATTTTGTTGCTAGCAAAAGTATTTTATTGGCTCCAGTGGAACTGGGAAAAGTTGAGTCTCAGTTACTCCATGTTTATATAAAGTTTTACTTACTGGCCCAAGCTATGTGCGAGCCTCCAAGAGCTAAAAACACTAAAAATAGTCTCAGGGTTACATTCAGTCATTCCTCATTATTTTTCTGGATATTGAATATATAAAAATAAATTGTTCTGAATAATAATATTGCATCAGATGACTAAATCACTCCTCATCCTATTAAAAACAGATTTCTTAACAGTCACTTAAAGTAAATGAGACACATGTATGAGAAAGTGTTAATCGTTGACATTCAGTGACTCTAAAACAGGTCAAATACAAAAATAAAAAAGGGTCCGTGCAGGAGGAAGCGTGGCACCAACACTAGGTAATTAGAAAGTAAAATAAAGGCCACTCTGCATTGTTATGCCTTATTTATGGTAGTTTTTACATAAATTTAGTCCAGAAAATAGTTTTATTATCCTGCTTTTGTTCTGCAACTCATGTAGTGAAAATTATTTATTTAGCTTGTTTTTTAATATGTAAAGTCACTTTAGACTAGATTTGTTGGTCTGGAGAGACGGATCATTCTTTATCAAAGAGTTGGATGCCACTCAACAAGTTAAAATGTGGATATGAGCTTAAAAGTCATAGCCTGAAAATGTTTTTCTTCCTGCCATGATCTCTGATAAGTGTTTTAGTGGAAATCTAACAGGAAATACAAAAAGTTAGGTATGACGTTTTGTATTTTCTGTGTATTTCTGTCTAATTTGTATTAGTTTTGAATATTTAATTGCTGATAGTCACTCTTCAATAGTGAATTTTATAACACAATCAGTGACCTATTGTTGTGAAGTTGTATGTTTATCCGTGTCAAAGGCACGAGGTACAAGACCTCTAGCAGAATATTCAGTGTCAAAAGGAGACTGGCTGCTTGCCAGTTAATCTGTTACCTTCACATCAGTCACAAATGGCTGTTCTGTTTGTCGTGTTTGATTTGAGTTTGTTGACATTCTTAGTCTTGCTTTTGTTCTTTCCAGCTGGATGGGGACACCATGTTCCTAGGTATGCCAGAAACAGGCCTCGACTTCACCTCAACCAACCAGGTTAGTGTGTGCAATGCAGCGTTCAATTTTCTGTGTTAGACACAGAAAAGATGTTCCTTGTGAATCTCAAACCATTCCACGTTGTTTTCTGAATTGTTCATATTTCACTGTCACTTGTGTGTAAGCTAAACGAGAACCCTTGGACTTGAAATGAAGATAAACTTAATGGTTAAAATTAGAGATGTCTGATATTATAGGTCTACCAATATTATCGACCAATATTGGCATTAAAGATCCACTATGGAACATTTTAATAAAAATATATAGTTTTTAAAATAATACTGCTACTGGGCATTTAGAGGTGTTTGGAAAAAATGTACAGTTTCTCCTATAAAAGCTATATTTAAAAAAAAATATATATATATATAAACTTTTATTTTGACGGGCACTACGCTGGGTTTATGTTTACATCTACCAGCCAGTAGGGGGCCCCGTTGTGGTAAAATGTCCGCTTGTCCAGGCTGTGACTGTGTAAAATGGTGGACTCGTTAAGCCAAGCAGCTGATTCTGAGCCCAAAAGATGTTCTAACGGTTAATACTGTTGTAAAATAAACTTATTAGTAGAAATTAGTCGTGTACGATTTTTCACTTGCTGGCTAGTCACTTCATGTATCAGCTGTGAACCAAAACCCTGACGGCTGGAAAATGTGTTCTGTGGTCGCTCTACCACCTCTAAACACTAGATGTCGCTGTAGTGTCTTATTTTCCATATTCAACCTTTAAAATGTAATATTGGAAAATATCGGTATGGGTTTTTATTCCTTAATGAACCAACTTTTACATGCCATACACATGTTAGCCATCAAACTCTTTGGCTTCATCTCCCCTCTCTCAAAATGTCAAAATATGACAGATCTGAGATTTTGTTTTTGAGATTTTTTTCTTTTATTTGGCACAACTTGTGAATAATTAGAAATTTGCCCTGTGTAGAGAATCTGCTGTCCTAGACTTTGTAGCACATATAGCATTGTAGCTAACAAACCACTAAAACAAAACACACAAATCTTGACCCAAGGCGTGCTTTACTTAACTGAAGTTCTTTATAAATGATTTATCACCGTAATACAGAAACAGAAAAAAAATTACTGGCTACAAATATAGTAATATAAACATCTTAGTGTTGGGCTTAGCAGTTAGCCTTGCTTAGCATGTGTACATTGCTTATATGTTATCAACTCAGTGACTAACACATGCCCAAACATTCCCTAAACACATCAATAGTTACTAAGACATATGTTCTCCAAGGCACACACATATAAAGCAATATTAGCGTGTTTGTGAGTCGTTTGCTTTCATGTAAACACCGGGAACAGAGGAAACAGATTGTTCACTCTGTTGTATTTTGCCCAGACAATGTAGCAAAGATAGTTTGTAACAGCGAAGTCTTACTTCTATCCATTTTTAAAGCGTAAAAAATGTAAACCTTTTTTTACATCACTTTACTTAAGCTATTTATTACTTATTAATAATACTGTTTCCCATCATGGACTTAATAATGATCTTTGGCCTGAAGGCATCACAGAACTTTTGTCAGGATTATCTCAGCTGCTAATTAAACTTTGTACTATAAATTAAACTGTAGTTGTCATTTTACACAGATAATGTTTAAAGCTTAAGCATACTTTATAGGAGATATGTCACGTTAGCAACCTATATATATATATATTATTATTATATATATATATATTTTTTTTAGGGGGGAAACCACATATATCAGTATCGGTTTTTATCGGTGTCAGAAATTAAGAGCTGGGCAATACTGGATATCAGTAAAAAATGCCAATATCGAGCATCCCTAGTTAACATACTTTTAATTATGATGCGGCCATCTTGGTTTTGTGATTTTCTATTGATCCCTACTTGTTTGGACCTTGAAGCCGTAAGAACCAGTGCATGCAGTGACAAGTGCCAGCATCACCGTTCTTTTTTAAACTGGGACAAATTAAATAAGCGCCATGATAAATACAAATTTATGTTGTCTCCTTTTTTATGTCACAGCAGATCATTTTGTGATTACTTATATTTTTGTAGAGCTTTCGAATAAAGAAAACAAAACAGGTATTTGCAAGTAAAATGTAGTTCCCCCTTTACTTCCTCTTCTTTGTCCACCTATTCTTTTTCATTCATGAATATGTGTTTTGTACTGAAGTTTGTGCTGAAGGGAAATGAGTCCACTAGGAAGTAATGGAAATTTCCCAGCTCACAGAGACAAAATGTCACCTTTCAGCTGAAACATTAGATGTGACTGTAAAGCTGCAGTAAGCTACCTGCTTTTCGTGGGCAATTTCACGAGGAAAACACGGATTTTAAGGCGTCAGCAGAGGCCATTCCCACGTTCAGTTGCATTTACATCCTGATGCATCAGATATGTCACTTGAGATTTTTGTTGTGGCCTTATTTAAGACTGTTTGATCTAGTCCCATTGTGCCTTTCAGCTCACCATTAGCTATTTCAGTTCTTTTCTCCTTAGTTGTTTTTATTATTGTTGCGCCATCATCCCAATCCCCCTCTCCATTCCCCTTATCCCTTTTGCTCCACCTTGCATGTCCATGCCGGAGTGGTTGGAGTGCTGATATGGCAGGGAATAAAGATGTCCGACCATGTGTCTTCTTAAAACACAGTCTTTGCCAACCCAAAGGTGTTCATACAGAAATATCATAAAGATATTGGTGGCTAGCTAATAACAACGAGTTGCACTAATTAGCGGTTAAACACGTGATAATGAGCAGCTCATGGAGGATGGGTGGATATCTCCATTACAAAAGACAATTTTCACGACATAAAGTTGCTGTAGATGAATGTTTCAGAGCTGCCGATGTTTCTGAAGTCACTTTAGTGCGGCGACAAACATAGTAAGGTTGTTATTAGATTACTCGGCATCAGCTCTGGTGCTGCAGGATTCAGCAGCACATTTTCATATAGCTGTGGATGTAACTGCATTTGAGCGTAGCTTCAGAGGTCCAGACATTAAAGCCTACGATGTGTGTTTGTTAGTGCAGAATTACCTCAGCACTGAGGAAAAGCCCACATTAATAAGAAGCACCACTACATTATTCATAAAGAAGCATATAGAGAATATTGTGTGGCACAGACACGAATGATTTGATGTTTTATTCATAGTGTTGTTCTGTAATAGGGAGTGGTGGTTGGAATAAGAATTTATGGCTTTATTATTGAAGTGCCTTTTCTTCCATAAAGTCGAGAGGGTGTTGTGATAAATGTGATCAATCTGAGTCCAGTCTGACCCTCATGCCTCTTATTTTTACTTTGATAATCCAGTGTCAAAGCTGAAATAAGAAGCTGAGCCCTTAAAGGAACATCAGACAGTGCTACGAAAAACAGATTAGCATAACACCTGTATCGATTGTTGTTTTATAATCAGTTTTAAACACATGCTGTTGGGTTTCAGGGTTGATCTGTGTAGAAAACCTGGTTTCTTTCGTTAAGGAACATCTGTGGAAACATTAAATATTAATATTGTTTGTTTGTTTAAAACCAATGGTTGTCCCAGTTTTTGATTTTGTGAAATGCTCAACTTACTGAGTTCAGAAAGCATTGCTTTTTAAGGAAACGTGCTCGCTGGCACATTTGGAAACATTCTGGATGGTCTTTCTGTCCTGTAGCAGGGAAATGTCTTTCTCTTCTTTATGTGGAGCAGCTGCACTCATAAATGCGCTGAATGCACACGTGCATCTCTGTTCTTGTGGTTTCTACCTCAGATTTGGACTTTTCTCTCTGAGTAATCACTTTACATATCACAGTTCACACATGTTCACTGTAACTAATAAAGACGAGTATGACGTCCCATAAGAAAATGTTTCAATTATTCAGTCTAGTTTCCAGAAATGTGCCTTTAAAATAGGTCAAAAGCAAACATCAGGAGACCAAAATAGTAGTAATGATAATATTCGGCAGGAACCTAAAATAAATTACTAAAGCTGCTGCATAAAAGTTTTTATCCACGAGTTGTAAGTTCTGCATTTTGTCAGTTATTTATGTTTCAGTAACACTTTTAGAAACAAATGTAATGTAGGTGTTAAGTTGTCACGTAATTCAAATGTTCAGATTTCACACTCATACTATAGGAAACACTCATTTGGATCCTGCTTGAAGAACAAAATAAGGAGGCCTAAAGTGTTTAACTTGTCTTGACTGCAACCCTAACACTGCAACGTGAAAACATTTAGACGCTTGCTTACACCTTTTCACCCTTTTATTTTTGGCTACATCAAAAGCACATGTTATTTTACACGTTATTATACAGCTATAACCAAAATTCTGTTATTTTAAAGGATTTTTGCCTGCAGACTGTAACTAAATACCTGCAGTTTGGAGCCCAGGTGAAGGTTTCACCAATAATAAGGTAGTCTGGTTTAAAACAGCAGAAGTTCAGAGCCAAATGTTGGTCGGTGTTATTGAGTTCAGATAATAGTTTAGGAGAGATGCTGAGTGAAAATGTTGGCATAACAAGTTTCTAATTAAATAAAACATTTTAGACAACTCTAGTTGGGTTTACAGAGTGCAACAAAGCATGTTCATGTTTATTGTAGAAGACTGTGTGTGTGTGTGTGTGTGTGTGCGTGCGTGCGTGCGTGTGTGTGTGTGTGTGTGTGTGTGTGCGTGCGTGCGTGCGTGCGTGCATGCGTGCGTGCGTGTGTGTGTCTGAACTTTGCATGGGGAATTTCTCTTTTCTCTCCCTTCCTCCTGTTTTGTCTTTACTCCTCTTCATGGCCTTTCTGTTTGACCCCTGACCTCCCCCTTGCCCCCGACCCCTCTTCACTCATTGTTTGTCTTTGCGATTCTTCCCACAGTTTCGTGTGCCACAGCCCCCTCACCCGCTCAGCAAGGCGACGCCACCGAATCCAAACTCACAGCAATGGAGGAGGGATGCACACATGGCCGATGTACACCGTCTACCTTGGGTGGGTGCACACAGACACACGACCACCTTGTCCTATCTGCTCTGGACCTGCGGCTTTATTCACCTTCAGGTGTTAAAAGTCACAGCAGCAGTTCAAACAAAAAACTGACATCAGCATAAGTGCTGATCAGATTTTTGGTGTTACTTGAAAGCCATATAAACATTTGCACAGTCAGCCTAAACCAAAGTGCAAACATAGTGGCTCCGGGAGGCTGTGAATCTTTTCTTGTGTTTGATGGACACTTTACTATTCTTGGTATTTGTTGTTTCATCACTAAACCTGAAATTTGCACAATGTGTATTTTCTTCCACCAGAACTGTAGCTTTACTGCATTGATAATTTCATTTCACCGGGTCAGACGGAATCAGGAACTGGAAAATAAGTTGCTGTTTTTACGCCTGTCGTCGTCTAGTGACACGGGTGTTAAATGGGTAAAATAGGTGCTAAACGTTCAGTATGGAGTTCCAGCAGCTCAAGGGACTAATCCTGTCTGTACGAGGCTGCATGGGGGCGCAGTTGGTAGCATTGTTGCGTTGCAGAAAGAAGGGTGAAGGCTTTTCTGCATGGAGTTTGCTTGTACTCCCAGTGTGTGCATGGGTTTTGTGAAGTTACAGCAGTTTCCTTCCACAGACTAAAAACACGCGTGTTAAGTATTGTAAGTCCCTTTAGATAAAAACCTTTGCTAAATAAATTTACATAATTAACAAACACCTGTTACTGTCCACTGTCTCCTATTAATTGAATTCATTCCTATTAAGAGCACATGTGAATGCCTGAGCCAAATGTTTAGCCCTGGGTGGTGATGCTTTTACTCATGAGTTTCTTTTTAAGCACATTTAATCAATCAGCAAGTGCTGCTTTATTTAAACGTGTAATAATTATTAAAACTGTTTGATTTAATAACTACGTCTGTCCCCACATTCACCCTTCAGCCACTCTTTTATGCAAACAGACCTTAGAAGTAGAACAGAGCCTTTGTTTAGGGAAAGGATTCATGTAATCTGTAATCTAATGCAGCAGCAGTGAAAGGCAGGAGACTGCAGCTGGGAACTTTTATGTCGGGCGTTGCCTATAGAAGCTGTGCATTTAATACATTAAACTGTAACGTGAAGGTACATACATACAGAGTTGATATACATGTTTCCAGAGCATTCAAATATTAATACAAATCTATTCTTTAAATAGATTATTTAAATGTGGTCACAAAATTTATCTGGAAATTAAAAATAATCCCATTTCCATCTTAGACAATCATAATGAACCATAATTTAACGGCTTTTAGATAGATGGCTTTCACTGATGACTCATGCAGTCATTATATATACTTAAGTTATCATTTGAGTCTAAACGCAAGTCTTGGTGAGTCATATAACTCATGTCTATCCATGCTTTCCGATACCGCACAAAACACGAAGGTATGAAAAGTACATTTGTGATGTGAACACAACATGTGTGAAGAACTTAATCCTGACTACATTAGTCTTTCTAGAAGCTCTTGGTGCACAAGTAAAAGGCTTTTGTGCTCAACTGAAAGGAAAAGAGCAGAGAGAGCGAGGAAGAGGAGTAATTTATGCAGAAGTTGAAGAAATGATAAAGTAGAGGAGGGAGGGAGAGTAAGAGGCAGACAGAAAACAGACAGGCAGTATAATTTATGCAGAGCTCCTAGCTCCATCAGGACACTCAGAGACCATGAAAAAGATTTTTTGGGACATGTTTTTATAATAAACAGCTCAAATAGAAATCCAGGCTCAGAATTACATTTAGGCAATCATTTATTCACAAAGAAAAACAATTAATACAGCAAAAATACCTATTTTCTCCAGCCAACCTGAGTTGTGTTTATACTGATTAATAATATACTTGTGTCCTGTTATATCAGTCTGGTATCTGTGGTTTACATTCAAATGTGTCACTCTATAGGCTGGGTCAGAGAATGCTCCCATCCTGTCTCTGCATAGAAACCTGCCTTTGTCTATGTAATCCTGATGTGTTGCTACGTTAGAGTAGCTTTTTGAGTTAACAGATATTTGAACTGCTTTTGCCTCATTTACCACTAGCAGAAATGTTTTTGCGAGCAGGTACTTATAAGATTTTAGATCTGTCTCTTACATTCATTTTTCTTGCAGCAACACAGAACTTCTTGAAAATCATCTCAAATTATGTTTTTAAAACATTTTCCCACAATTTTGTTGATTCCCTTCTTCCAAGTAACTATTACCATTCATTGGAGAAGCTGGAAATCACATATACAGTATAACAATAATGTTTCTGCTTTTAGAGAATCAACAAATAAGGCAAAATGAATGAACTAATACAATTAAACTGCATTTATTCTATTAATATAGGTTATGCTTGTTCTTCATTGTGTGATACTCTTCCCTTAAGATTAGCCATAAAATCCTAATATTAATAATCCCAAATTATTATATTTTACTTAAAAGTGATCAATAGCTGAACATTAGCTAATGCAATTTATGGATGTTCCAAGTTTAAGGAAAAGGGGTTCGCTTGATTTGGAAAATATTCTGAGACAATAGCACAGGCCCAATCCCAATTAGGGATGCACCAATACGATATTGGTATCGGTATCGGTAAAAGTTAACCGATACCAGGAACCGATACCAATGCAGTTGCTTGAAAATGGCTTCATTGTAACTTGTCATTTCTGTTCACCTAATATTTTAGTTTTGTGATGATTTCTATTCATATATTTAACTTTTTATCTACCTCACAGTCTTTTCCTGTTGAAAGCAGAGAAGAAAATAAAATCTGTATTCCAAATCATTGCATTTTATTTGTGTGGTAGAAGTATCGGTATTGGTAATCGGTATTGGTGAGTACTCAGATCCAGGTATCATATCGGTTTGGAAAAAAAGTGGTATCGTTGCATCCCTAATCCCAATACTCGCACTTCCACGCTTGCGCCCTTTAATTTTGCTTTTCAGTCCAGGGGTGTGAGCGCGTAGGGTGTCCAAATTCTTAAGTGCGGAAGTTGACCACGCCCCTTTTTGCACCCTTGATCCGCAATTTTACCCACAAGTTTTATTACCCACAACCCATTGCTACATGGGAATTTTGAAAAGAACACAGGACAATGGCTCAAGTGCCTTTTCTGAAAATATGTATTTTCAAACGAAAGAAGTTCATTTTAATTAATTCATGCTCTGAATGTTTTAGACTGTGAACAGCAATTACTGTAAATGTAGTCAAAAAATAGTTTGTATGAAAATTGTTAAAGTATCTTTCCAGAGTTTTTCCTTTTCAGAAATTATGTATGATTTTTCAGAAATCCGTAAAAGTGATGATCTTATCATGTAAGCGATACGTCCTTTTTCTTTTTTGGCTAAGCATGCCCCCTGTCCCGCAGAGCTCCGTGCAATAGGAAACTGAGCGCCGAGCAGAACTAACCAGTAGTGTTAAACTACCGCCTACATGCTTCGAATTTAAGGAATACCTCGGCTGATGCAGAAGTGATTAACTTTTCACGGACAAGTAAGTCTTTAGAATATAAATATATGAAAACACAGCATGACATGAGAATAATACTTGTAAAACGTTTTTTAGCTGTTTTAGCTCTGTTGGCTACAGAAGCACATTTATAAACAAGAAACGGGAAGTCGCCACCTTAAAAAAACAAACGGAGACATTTTTTGTGTAATATGCTTGTCAGCCACTAGATGGTGCCATCGGAAAAGAGAAATACTCCGGAAGGACTATGCACTCTAGGGCTGCAACAACTAATTGACAAAAATCAATCGATTCATTGTGTTGTACAACTGTTTTCGGGTTGTGCAACCTTTATGTAAGCGTCAATGCACGCAGCTCATCTATACGCGGCAGCAGAGCAGACCGAGGCAGATCAGAACAAGAGAGACGTATATCTCGCACGAACGATGAAAATAACTCAATGTGTGATAAACTACTTTTACACGTAGCATTAGTGCGACATCTTTTCAAATTACTTTGATTCCCCAGAACTTTTTTGAACAAAGGTAAGTTTCTTGTTATTGTGTAAGGAAGATGCTTTTTACTAGCGCACAATGTGCTAATCGAGGTGCTGTGGAGGAAAACAGAGAAACCAGAAAAGACGCAAAGGCAGAAACAGTCCAAAGTTTGGGATCAAATGTGCAACTACGGGCAGATTAGCTAATGCTAGCCAGTAGCAGGCTCACCATTTATCCGAAAATACACGATAGTCGTGAAACGAAGAATATCTAAACTCTACAAGCAGAAGAAAAGTCCCCATCACCCTGTTTATTCCTAGCTGTCTGCAGCGCTAAGGAGCAGAACCACTGCAGTCAGGTTGCTGCTTCAAGTCTGCTTTGCTCAACATCACTGCAGAATTATGGCAAGCCGCTGTAGCATGTAATTCTCAAACGCATCTATCTGTGAACATAATTTAAACTGGATTATTGCTAACCCGTACATAATAAATATGTTACCATTACATTTTTAGCAGTAGTAATTAAATGTTATTAGCATTTCCAGCAGCTTAGTACTGAACATGTTAATGAAATACATAAAATTTTACAGATCATAATTTAATTATGGATATATTTAGGTGATCGCATGCTGTTTTGCACTCTATTGAACAGTTTTTAATCACGTTCTGTAAAGGAAAGAGAGAAATGTTTCCCTAGCAGCTTTTAAATTTTCCCGTTTAATCAAATTAACTGATTAATCGAGTCGAGACCCCATCTGATTCATCGATGATCCAAGTAATCGTTTGTTGCAGTCCTAATGCACTCAATGACTTAGTGCGCTCTTCCTCCAAGTGCACTTTCCTGAAGACTGTAGAGCGAGTATTGAGATTGGGCTACAGACTTAACAGGCAATCCCATAATGCTTCCCAAGATCACCCACATGGCATTTGTTGATGTTTAGTATTTAATATAGTCCTTCTTTCTGATGTCTTTTTCTGTTTCCCACAGGTTATTTTTAAAGTGGTGAACCCATCAGCTAGAGCTGTGGTTTACCATGGTTGTGAATTATAACGTGATCGTTTATATGTAATCCAATCTCCGATTCATCACTCGGCTCACAACTCATGCAAATTATAGCTGAGCACTGCATGTGGCTTTGAGATAGAGCAGAAACTAGTGAGAGAATGGAAGAGTGAAAGATAAAAGAGAAATTGAGGATGAGATTAGGAGAGCAAGTGTGCACAAGAGGGGTTGAAGGAGAAGGATGGAGAGAGATGAAGAGCAAAAGAAAACTAGATGGAGAGACTGGTGTGGCTAGCCAAGCAGAAAAGGCTGTCAGTCTCTATAAAAGATCTCCTCTGTCAGATTAGTATGAGAAGGCTTCTCCACCACTGCCTCTCTTTCTCCTTTTCTGCACTTTTCCCTTCTTCTCTTGCATGATTCTCTCACTCTATTTCCTTCTTCGTGTCTCCGTCTCACAATGTCTCTGCTCTCCAGATCACATACAGGACGGCTCCTGGTTCTCTTTATTCATGTTAAAGTAGCGCTGATGAATTTATACTAAAAGGTTTGTCTGGTTCTATTCCTGCAGTCAGGATTGGTTTGTACATATAAATGACAGTATTGCTCTGCTGCTGAAAGAAAGAGTGTTTGTCCATAAGGCTATTTGCAAGACCGGGAATATCATTATAAGTGATTAGTGGTAATTAGTCTGTGGTGACAGCTCAGACTACAGGAGACAGAGCGATAGTTCAAACTGGACTTAAACTCTCTGAGGTCATTATTATGGGCAGTTTTTATAATCTCTCCATCTATTACCTCTGACAATAATGTTTTGTGACACTTGAGTCTCTTATTGTCTCGTATGCAATTCCTATTGATTTTGTTCAAGTTGTCACTCTGCTGAAGGCAACATTGCCCATCCACCCAAGTGTGATTTTGTCCCACATCAGTAAACCTTCTCTTGAGAAACAAAAACAATAATGTAGATCGTCACATCCCCAGAACGCTGAAGTGTTTCTAATGGCAGTTTCTTGCATGTATGCTTTTTTATTTCAGTCCTATCCACTGAACGGTTTGAGCGATGAAGATTTCAACATCCCACCCATCACTCCTCCTACTTTACCAGACCACATGCTGCCCCCTCACCTGCCCCATGATTCGTCCTCTGGACAGTATCACTCTATGGAGCCCCCATCCAGCTCAGCTCCTCACCACCCCTACCAGCTGCAGGGCATGGACCTGCCCGGCATGGCTGGCAGCCAGGATGGAGCTGGTGTAATGAACCAGGAAGGGGGGACCTTCGGCCAAGAGGGTGGACCAATGACCAGTGCCCTTTCTGTGGTGAGTGGTTCTAAGCAACCTATCTATGTCTGATGTCATCATTTAGCAATGTGGAGAATATGATAAAGGGCATTTAATAAATGTTAAATGTTTTTTTTTAAATCTGCAACAAATGAGAATAAAAGACTAGAATCTCTGGAATTCTACTTTAGCATATTAAAGACCAAGTTCATTTGACGTATGAGTTTAATGTGCAGGCTAAACATGATAATAGTCTTCAATGCCTATTTCCTGCATTCCCTGCTGATAGAAAACAGACGGGGAAATACTCGGATCAGAAAAATACCGATCTACGTCAGACTGAAAATCAGCATTCACCCATCTTAAGGAAGGCTGTTGGTTTAGCTTCTGGGAAACAGCAGAGAACATCTCGGATAGTAGAAGCTAACCATTAGCATTAGAAGTCCTACTAGCTTGTGTTGCTTGTGGAGGTAAAACATCAGTGATGCAAAGTAAACAGTCAGCGATAGAGTCACGTTGCCGTTAGCCAATCGGAGGTGAGATGTCTGATTATCGGGAAATAAGACTCCTGCTGTTTTCTGCTCACTTCTCCCTTAGCTCCCTTCTACTTCCTGAAACAGGAGCACCAGTGCTTCTTTCCCACAAGATCACTGCACTGTAGGACAAACAAGTGAACTTGGTCTTTAAACTGTTCTTAGTCAGTTTTAACACAGTTTTGTGTCAGATGTAGTAACATCAAAAAGAACAATTGGTATTTTTTAGAAGGAGTTGCGCTAGAGTGTTTCTTCCAGGTTGGACTTTTTTAAGCTGTTAAGCCTTCATTTTCATAAAGTTCCTGTACTTCACATTTGATCAGCTCTTGTCAGTTTATTATAAAACATCTGAGAGTTGTGTGAAAATAATGTTTGTTCGTTTTTTGGTGTTTTTATTTTCTTGAAAACAGTTTAAAAATTTGAAACTGGTCTATTTGTCTTATTAGTTGTTTTTTAGACAGGACCCTGGAGGTTTTTGGTGGGTAAAAACAGTATTTGGTGTTTATAAGTGCACACACACACACACACACACACACGCATATAGACTTTCCAAACCTTTTTGTTACACTGCTGTTTAAAAAAGTAAGAATAGCGTTCCCTACAGTCATTAACCAGCTTTATTCCTAAATCAATGATTGCTGCTGTTTTTCTCATTTTGCATTATGTTGGCTCAGTTCTTCTGTGTTAAAATGAGTAAAGCCAAAGAAACATTTCTTCAGTTTCACTCTCCTGAGCTGCATTCAAATATGTTGTTTTTGTTGATGTTTTTAACAAATCATTTACAAAGCAGATGCATAAAGTAAATGACTCGCGAGTTTACTCAGGTGTCTCTGGAAGATTTTCAAGTGTAGTCATGTAAGCACCTAAAATCCTGCTTTAACGTAAAAAACAAAACTGGTTAACATCAGATTTTGGTGTGGATAAACTCTGAGAGGCATGCTGTCTGCAGTTAATTTGAACATCGGGTGCAACAATCAGAAAAATGTACATTTTTGTAGCAGTAGTTTAGGACTTTGTAATGAAAATGATTCACTTATTGCCTTTTATTGTTGAAATTATTGATGAGGTCGGTGATCCTCTGGAAGCCAACTGGCTGCATCTCTCCAGGAAAGATCCCTCTGAGTTGTTTTCAACAGCCTAAACTATCAGTTTGTTGATCAAATGTTTTCTGACTTCACTCACTGAAAGTTAAACGAGAATCTCGGCGAGTCGTCAGACTTGAGCTGACAGCCTGCAGGTATATTTCAACCATATTCTTTCATATTCTAGTCGGCGTAACTGTGTGTAGTGCATTGCCCCCGGCAGTGTTATTTGAAGGCCAATCATAGCAGCCGGTCGCTCTGACATTTGCTTCGTATTTTAAGTTATCATTTCACAGTAAAGTGAAATTGGTGATTCTAGCTGTGACATTCAGATGTGACAGACTTTGTCGTACTGTAACACAATGAAAGTCATGCCCAAGACTTGTAGTTTCTTCTTCAGCCGACGTGGAAACAGGCTTTTCAGGACTGTGTTTGGGGCTTATAGGTGTCAGGATCTGTTAGAAAGATTGCTCCTGTTTTTATTAAGAGTGAAACGTTCTCACCTCCCCACTCTCGACCTTTCAGTTTTTCTATTTTCTTAATCCTGAAATTAACCGTGACTGCTGAAATATTAAGAGTTGGTATGAAAAAATCAAAAGTTACACAGAAAGCGCTCATCCCTGACTTCAGCTGCATCAGAGACACTTAAACACCATGAGAGATGCTTTTTTGTCCAACAGAGTTTAATTAAATTCAGATATTTCTCCTTTTGGGACCTGATTAACTTGTCTGTTACTTGTGGAGATCTCTATTTTAGCCTGGAGGGAAAATATTTTATTTTATTTTTCCTCAGTCCTACTTTATGTTTATGTTATGTTTGTTTATTTATTTGGCCGACGCTTTTATCCAAAGCGACTTACAATTTATAACCTATAGGGCGCTTTCTTCTCTGTCTGCCTCAATATCGAGACCCCACTGTTGTATTTTCATACTAACATACATTTACTGCCAGTCCGTGAATTATTGTTGCCTAGCAACCCTGCTGGGCTCAGCCTAATCGAGTTGGGTAGAAAGAGAGGCTAGAGAGACTAAAGTCAAAGTGTGTGTGTGTGTGTGTGTGCGTGTGAGCACTTGTGTGTTCGTGCGTGTGTAACTCTTACATGAGCGAGACTTCTCTTTTTTAATTTGCTGCTGCTTTCTGAATGATGACCGTCTAAAGCGATCAGTGCTCAGAGTTTAGCGTGTATGTGCCGCTCAGCTTGCTTGATCTTAGTTCCATTTGATCATTTCTGAGATGTGCATGCATGCATTTTCCAAAATGATGTTGCGTAAAAGATAAGATAAATGTTTCGGCTGTATTTTGATCGATTTACCTGTTAAGAGTTAATCATCCAGTTTATTCAAGCAAGTTTGCAGCAGAATTTAAAGAAACAATTACTTGACAAATGATAAATGACCCGCACTTGTATAGCGCCTCTCAGAGTAAGGACTCCAGAGCGCTTTACACTACAGTGTATCATTCATCCATTCACACACTGATGGTGATGAGCTACGATGTAGCCATAGCTGCCCTGGGGCGCACTGACAGAGGCGAGGCTGCCGAGCGCAGGCACCACCGGTCCCTCCGACCACCACCAGCAGGCAAGGTGGGTGAAGTGTCTTGCCCAAGGACACAACTGCAGCATTCTCTGTCCGGAGCCGGGATCGAACCTGCAACCTTCCGATTACTGGACAACCCGCTCAACTTGTTGAGCTACTGCTGCCCAATTATGACTGCTGACAAATTATGTTAAAAATCAAATCAGCAAAATAATACGTGTTCCAACGATTTTAGATCAACAGAGCAGAAATGGGCTTTTTGGAGTCGCTGTTTTGCAGAGAGATATTAAAAATCATCTGCATATTAACGGCATAAAGCTACAACTCTGTGACAGCCACTGTAAGTGTGTCCATTATAAAAGCTTCATGACATGGTCAAATATTAAAATATTAATGTAATTGGCATATTTAATTTTCTGTTCAGAACAACCATCCCCGATCCCCTGGCTTTACTGCTTCCTAATTACAGTCAAAACATGTCCTAAATAGTCATTTGGGTCTTTGTTCTCATGCATTTCTTAACAGACAGGTTCAGATTCTTTCTTAGTGAAAAAGTAATTTCAACCACACTGCTGTGAAGATCTGAGCCAACTTTATGCTCCAAGAGCTTCACTCTGATGTGAGTCAGCTGTTACTCAGCCATTAGGGGTTCTCCCATCACCACGCCATCCCTCCTGTCCCCTCACAAGGAAAACCTGACATAAGTTTCCCTCTGATTATTGTTTTAGGTCAGAATTTGTCTTTAGATGGTGATTATCTCCTTTAGAGACTAGATCAAGATGATCCCCACATTTTGTCTTTATTGTAAAAATTACATTAATAAAATCCCAACAACAACACATCTATTACTATGAGTTAAATATATGTGTGTCTGTATAAAGTTTGTAATTAATCGTTTTTAATGTGTGTATGCAGGTAGGAGTTGATGATTACCCTATATTTGTCGTGATTAATGGTCTGGTGTATGAATAACGATATATATTTTATTCTTAACATAATTTTAAAAAATTAACATAATTTAATATTAATAAAATTGATGTTTTACAAAAACAAAAATAAGATATTGTGTAAAATTTTCACTTGAACCTTTAGCCTTTATATGTCAACAACTTTTTTGGTTGTTTTTTTATGCTTTAACACAATTCAGGGATTCTTTATCTAAATACTTTAATCTGTTTTTAAACTAAAGCTCTTTGCAAGATGGAGCCAAACCACAAATACTATTTTTCATTATTTCCAAGACTAAAACCTCATCCCATGTTCGAGAAACGTCACCCTGCGTTCCATCCGAATACCGCAGCGGCGTTCAGAGGCTGCTGCTGGTAATCGGGTTCAGGTAACGTGTTCCCGAGAGGGGCACGGCGGCACAGACCACATCCGTCATCATTCAGTGCTTACTAAGAGGAAACTAAATACTCACCATCACCCTAGACCCGTCTTTGAGCTTGTGTGTGGTAGGTGTCAATGTTCCCACACCGAGGCTGAAAATGTTAACTTTTGTTTTCCTGAGAAGTGAACAGAATGTAACTAATGACTGAATCACTCCGGTTTTGGAAAGGCCAGTTAAAGGTGAAAAGGTCAACCTGATTAATATGCAAATAATACTTCTGCAGTGACAGGTCAAACTCACCAGATCAGTGGCCTCTGTTTTATGGACCTTTGTGTTTGGATTTTGGTAACTTTATACCAAATTTACCATCTCTAGTGAGAAATAAACTTAGCATGATGCTTCTATCCCCATGATAGGCTAAAAGGATGACTTATTTATATATCTCAGTATAAAGTTGATGTATAAATCAGTGTTACAATAAAGCATGTCGAGTAGCTCAGTTGTTGCACAGTAACAGTGCAACCTGGTAATACATCCAGCTTTTCTGTAGTGTTTCTTCCCTCTAATGTTTTAATAAAGGAAAGTGTTGGTGGGTAACCTAACACCAACAGCAGCTGTAGGAGCAGTGTGTTAGCAGGTAGCGTGATATTGATCAGTGCCACATTTGGCTATTTTATCAGAATCACCTGTTACACAATATCAATACGACATAATAATAACAACACGTCAAATAAAATGTATACAGACGTCTATAAATTCAGACCAGTAATTTTTCATCAGCAGTGTTCTAGACAGTCTCGGCTATAATCCATTTATTTTTCATGATGTCATTGAGCATTTGCTGTAGTGCTGAATGTGAGACATTGATGCATTAAAAGTGTAGAAAACTGTGTTTCGCTGTTTGATTAATTGCATAATAGCTTGTTTCTAACATTTAATTTAAAGTGCCATTAAAGTGGTGACTTTAATGGACATGAATCAGTCAAGTCTGATGTTTTATTCCATTTCCTGAATGATAGTTTTAAGATTGCCTCCATTGTTTCAGAAAAACTGCTTTGGAAGTCAATAAAACATTATGCATGCATGACACAGGTGTGACAGTAAAAGTGTGGACCGAGCTGTCTGGTCACTTTATATCCTGCAGTAAACATCTGTGTGATAAATGACCGAGGCCCTGGAGGCACAGAGAATAAACCTGTGTGTGTATTTGTTCAGTCTGCACCTGTGGACTCGCCGTCTCCTCCAGATATGTAGCCACTTCTCTGGAGTGTAGCAAATGGAGTTTAAAAAGCTCTATTGATGTACTTACACATGAGTGGGAAATGGGAATTGATGTTTTAAATTACTTCTGATCCTGTCTTACCTCAGACCTGTATTTCCTGTTGCCACGGTTACTATCAGATTTCATTATTAGTGAATCCTGGACTGCTGCACAGCGCTCGAACCTCGCCAAACCCAAGGCAGGCTGTAACAAAGCTAGGTCTGTTACACGAGCATGTTACGTGTCTCAGACGCCTGCACACTCATTATGCATTTAGTGCTTATTGAAATCTCTGTTATCTATGGTGTCAAATGTAGAACTTCATACATTAGCGAACCATTTTTATACATCCAGTAGCAAGAATCAGCCACCATTTATTAGAAATCAAGGTCCAGGAACTTCTAATGGGCTCCTAGATTATGGTCCCTAACTTTGGTTTATTGTTTGGTGCTTAATGCAAATGTTGTAAATGATTCTATTATGTCTTTAGGACTGGAGCATAATTCTGTATTACTGTTGAATGTATTTGTCATGTCACATGGATGTTGAAATGAAATGAAATTTCCTTCAGACAGCGATGATCAACATAGATGTGGTTTAAATATCATGTACATCAACAAAACCCATTACAAAAAGTAGATTACTGGTTTTTGTTTCTTCGGGCTTACTGCTGTTTCAGAATGACAAACTTCTTGGCACAGGGGCTGAAATAAAGCAAATGTTTCCTAAAAGACACTCAAATCCATTAAAGCTGTGAATGAACATGTTTAAATAAATACATGCGCTGACTTCAGCCGGGAAGATTGTGCGGATAAATAGAAATCTAATAATTGTCATTCTCACTTCCTGTTTTTGCTCAGATGCAGCAGATGGTGAACTCAGATTCTCGGTTTACCAGCAGTCAGCAGCCAATCAAAGCAGCGCTTGGACCCAGGAGCCAGTCGGGCCTAAACCATCAGAACCAGTTGTCCACAATCAACCAGTCACAGTTGGGGATGAATGGGAACATCGTTACCCATAATTCCCCCTCTCCTCCTGGAAGTAAATCCACCACACCATCACCTCCCAGCTCAGCGCACGAAGATGACAATGACGAGGGACTCCGGGTAAACAAACAAACAAACAAACAAACATGTACTTAGGTTAAAACTTACAGGTCCTCCTGTCTGTGTGAGAGGTTTTGTCATATTTCACCCAGCTATAAAGTAAAATATGAAACTGCCATTATTGATTTGCTGTGTGTGTGTGTGTGTGTGTGTGTGTGTGTGTGTGTGTGTGTGTGTGTGTGTGTGTGTGTGTGTGTGTGTGTGTGTGTGTGTGTGTGTGTGTGTGTGTGTGTGTGTGTGTGTGTGTGTGTGTTATAACATTATGTGTCATAATAGACCCATTTTCCCTGCATATCAGATAGAAATCAGCCACCTCATTGTTGGCTCTCACATGGAAACGAGCACGCTGCATCAGACTGACTCTTCATATTCTGAGGAAATGAAACCATTGCCACTGAATAATTTGTACCACTTTCCTCAGAAGCAACAGATAGGATACATTATAAGCCAGTGTACAGGTTTAGTGGTTTCATAAAGCCCTCAAAATAAAAGCAACAAACTGTCTTTTTGCACCTTTGCAGCAAATTCCTAAAAGCAGAATCTGTTACTGTGGTCGTGTGTTTCCAAACTGACCCGCTGAGGGCAGCATCACGTGCTAAAAGGAAGGAGGAGAAGAGATGTAACATTAAAGTGACAATGTGTAGTTTTTACCTTTAATCACAGGAAATATCCATTGAAACTTTGTTGAAAATGAAGAAAATTATGTCCAGGCCAAAAATATTGGCAGCTTTGTACCTTATAACTATAAAAATTGTGTCTAAAGTACATGGGGCATGGGTCTAGTTTTTTGGGGGACGCCATGTTTCTTTGTGGTCGGCTCGGGCTCCTGCGCCTGTTGATGACATCACACTAGATGACTGGCTGGACATATGACTTATGGAAGTTAAGTTACCACGTTCAAAAACATTTAGGTAGTGAGAAACACGAATTTCATAACAAAACTGCTAAACCCTTTCCAAAACCTATGTGAAAGAACAGAATCAAAAAATTGATGCAATATTTTTTGGCCAAGCGGTATTGCCATAGTATGATGGTGTCATCGGCCAGTGGGGGACCCAGGCAGCTCCAAAAACTACAGCGCCAGAAAACTAGCCTCAGCTTTGCTTCTCACAATGGAATTAACCATTAAAGTCTGAGTTTGCATGTTTTCTGCTCCACAGATAAAAATGTTTACCGTAATGTTATCTTAAACTAGCGACAGTCATGGCGATATGATGTCAAACTACCCTGAAATGTAGGTACTGCCCCCTAGTGGCAGGAAACTACACACTGCCTCTTTAACATTAACATAAGTGCAAACAGGATTTGTGTGTGGATACTAAAATGAATCAAGGGAAGCGTTTAATTCCTCTAAATGCTTTTCCACCCACATGAAGATGTTATTATTCAAGGCTTCATACCTAGCATCGTTCCAACCTACTCTTACACTATTTTCTTTTATTAATTGAATCAAACCACTTGTGTGAGCCCTGCTGTGTTCCTGAGGTGATGTTTAAGTGTCAGTCACAGTTCATGGTGACTGTGAGCGACCCTGCTGTCTGACGTTAATAACATGCTGCCAAAGGTAATTTCATGTTAGTGGCTGGGATCAGTTTACTGTTTTAGCTCCAACAAAAGCTGTAGCTCTGGTATTTTACATCACTGGGTGTTATGGTCACAGCTTTTCAGTCAGCTGGTTGTTTCTGCTACAGTTTCTGTCTACTGTAAGTCTGACACGATAACTGTTACCAGAGCTGATTAAATCTGCTGTCACACATCTCTTATGCTCTTGTTTTTTAATTATTTCTTCAAAGTTTCCAGGAAAAACAAGTAAAGGTCAGAGTGTCACCCCAGCAAGTTATTTTTAAAGGTTAGAAAATAACAGTAGATGTTCCCATCAAAGGCAATAAAATGTAATCATTGTTCGATAAAACTGCAAATAACCGGAGAAACATACAAAATGCATGACAAAGGTTTGTGTCATTATTATAGGATGTCGCTGGATGTTTGTGGGTTGAATGGAGGAAGAGGAGATGTTGGTTTAGTGGTGAGCTCGTGTAGGAGCGAGCTGTTAACCGGAGGATGAGGAGTGGTGCTGACTGGTGGGGAGTTTCCCATGATTCACCTCTGCTGTTGGCTTATATTATCAAACAATAACAGCTGGGGTCAGATTACTCTCATAAAGCAAACAAGAATGGCAGGTTTTTTTAAATGATATAATCTAGATTATCCCTTCTTTTGTTTCAGTTTTTCTGCTTCAGAAATGAACTCCAGCCCTGCTGTTTCAGTCGTTCATCCTCAATGTCACCTGTGCTTTTTCACAGGGAGAGAAACGGCCTGCGACAGCGGACATCTCAAAGAAACCCAAAACGCCAAAGAAGAAGAAGAGAAAGGACCCCAATGAGCCGGTGAAACCTGTTTCAGCCTACGCCCTGTTCTTCAGGGACACCCAAGCCAATATCAAGGCCCAGAACCCCAACGCCACCTTTGGAGAGGTGTCAAAGATCGTGGCCTCCATGTGGGACGGCCTGGGAGAGGAGCAGAAACAGGTGGGTCCTCTGACACACCTTTGAGTGCTCCTTGATGAGTCTGAAACCAGTTAAACCATCGTTTATGTGTTGGGAAAAATCTGATGTCTATTAGTGAGGAAAATGATAGAATCACCAACCACAAAATTCGCCGTTCATATTGTTCTGCAGCTTGTTTCAACTTAAATAATAATGGCTTTTAATGTTTATCAGTCAGGATTTAAGCTTTGCAGCTAAATGAATGAATGAAGCTCATAAAGGACTAATTATTTGGCTGTAAAAGAAAATTACACTTAGATAAATTAGTTTATTTACCTGAAATTAGTTAAGAAATTTGTTGAATGCAAATAGAGTCAAGGTGAAAGGATTCAAACATGAAACGATGAGGATGAAAGAGAAAAAACAAATAGATGTGGAGAAATCTAATATCATGTGTATTTTTTTATTTACTAATAATTATCTATTTTTTATTACGTTCATTTCCCTTTTTCCTGTTTTTTATCTCTATGTTTTTATAAATTTGTTTCTATTGCATTAATTTCTCTAAAACCTCAGTTGGGTTGTGGTATATAATTTAATTTTATAAAACTTGGTTTGTTTCATTAAATTTTATGTTTTATTGGGTGTCAGAGATATGAGTTTCTTTATTTTAGTGAATAAATGCTCGTTATTTTGTTATTTACGGCTATAATTTACTAAATGTTGATTGTTTTTTTCCTTCAGGATGTAAATTATTTTACGTGTCTAATTTGTGTTTCAGGTTTACAAGAAGAAAACTGAAACGGCTAAGAAGGAGTATCTGAAGCAACTGGCTGCCTACAGGGCCAGTCTGGTCTCTCAGGTACACACACACACACACACGCACACACACACACACACAATCCTTTGGTTATTAGTCTAACAGGTGTTGATGTGAAACCTGTGGGCTGATCTAAATCTTTTTCCTTTCTCCAGAGTTACAGCGACCCATCTGAGATGAAACCACCACACTCCTCCCCCTCCCCCTCCTCTACCTCCATGTTCACACACAAACCTGTTTATCCCGGTCAGCACTCGTCCCCCGGCTCACTCCCCCATCCTCTCCCTCCCCCTCAGCACCCAGGCATGTACATGTCTTACCCACACCCTTCTCACTCCTCTAGTCCCGGGCTCGGCCAACTTGTACCCCCTCCCCACCCACAAATGCATCCCCAGCTCCAGGCCCTGTCCTCCAGGGGGACCGTGCCACGGGCCGGCGTCCCCCACCAGGGATCCCTGTCCCTCGGGAATGTGGCGGCAGCGTCCACGCCTCCTCTTCAGGTCAGCCCTCCACTCCACAGCCAGGCACATCTGGGAGGACTCCACAGTCCACACCATCAGCACCAGCCCATGGGTGGACACTCCCTGAGGATGACCCACTCTCCTGTCATCTCTCAGGTCAGATTCACCAAACAGCTTTAAGGTTGGTTTATGCTTGACGTGTCCGCGAGGTTCGCACGGCTCCGCGCGGCAAAATTGCGTCATTTTAACAACCACGCCCCTCCACCGCGCCTCCGCACGGCCCAAACTTTCCGCACCGCGCACCTAGGAAATTTTTTAACCACGAGGACGGTCGGACGCGGAAGAACATGGCGGACTGGCAAGAACTAGTATGGCAGAAGTTCGTAAATACAGACATTTGTATGATTCAGCTCTCAGAGATCACCATGATCAGCATGTTGTTAATAATTCTTGGAGAGAAATAGCTCGCACTGTCGGAAAAGACGAGGACGCTGCTAAAAAATGCTGGAATGCCATGTTGTAAACAACAGTAATTTACTTCTACTATGGTGTAGTGTTGGGTGCATGCCGTAGAGCTCCATGCTGCCCCCTACAGTTTGGGAGAATATTGGCTCACCGCAGAGATGAGCTAGCCTGGCAAGCCAGACTAAATAAATGTATTATTTAGTCTGGCCATGCTCCATTGACGGCTCTCGGTTGTGGGGCAGGTTCTACCGTTGTCTTTCAAATGATCTCCTCATTCCACTGGACAATGAATGTGACATACTCTTGTTTCACTCTGTTGCATCATCCCACCCACCAGGCATATAGAGTGCCCTGATTGGCCCACAAAGCGGATAAAGCTCTGTGATTTGTTCACTAAGCAGATAGAGCACTATGATTGGCCCACCATTATGGACCAATCACAGCTCTTTATGTGTTTGAAACCCCTCTAGAGAGCTGTGATTGGCTAGCCAGAGTCCTGGTAGAAGCTGCTGAGGTTCCAATGGAGCATGTCTAGACCATTCTTTGCAAAGCAAAAATTTGGTCTAGTTCACTAGGCTAGAGATGAGCCGCATGAACCATAAATGCTGCAAGTTGTAAAGCGCGTTCCATCCGCGAGCCGCATCACCGCGCGGAAAGTGAATGCGTCAAGCATAAACCAAGCTTTAGTCCTCACGTGGCTGTTATGGCACACTCAAAACAGGCTCTTTTAATCAGTACTTGTTCATAATCATAATAATTACTTATTCTTCACTTGGTTGAGTTATTTCATGACTGGAACAAGAAAAGTGAGACACTCAAAACTGTCAGGTGTCCTGTCTTTGTGGCTGAATGTGACCTCCTGGGTTAGATACTTAAATTAGCTCTCCAACATCAGATCTTACATTTTTCATAAACATTAGGAGTGAATAATAATAATCTTACGATTCACATTTTAAAGGGCGACTTGACACATTTGGCTTGCTTTTAGCACCCCCTAGTGTCCTTTTGTTGAACCGAAACTGAAACTTATCTTCTTGCTGCGCGTTTGTCTTTTTAATATCTTAATATAGCAGTTGAAGCGTCTCCTCAGCCTTCATTAGTGTCTAGAGGAGGAGTTCGTCACTAAATTAAACAAATCAGCTGTATTCACAATCTAAAACATGCAGGAAATGTGGTGGAACCAGACTGTAACGCCAGGTATGTCCACTCCATTTTTTTCTAAGGCCCAACAGACCGGACCGGCAACTCTGAAGTTGGTAGTGAAATATTCTGGCCACAAGGAGCAATAGGGGCCGGGTGGCCATTCGTTAATCCTGTAAAGGGTCATTTTAGCACATTCTGGTTCAAGAAAAGTATTTAAAAATATGAACAAGTAGCAAAGTACTACCCCTTTAATGTCATTGGCTATTTTCAGTGATGTAAAAACATATTTTCCGTAATCCTTTAACTAAGCGGTAGTACTCTCCAGATGACATAAAAAGTCACTTCAGCAACTTTTTTAGAGTCGCCAACAAAATGAAGCAGCACTTTTCTGAGTCACTCGTGGATGTTTCGTCACTTTATTGAGAGGAAATTTCCTTTACTGAGCCCAGATCCAGTCAACAGGCAACCCTAACCCTCTCAGAGGATTTACAGTCTTAACAGACCATATTCTGTTATAAAGACCTCCCTCCTGGTGTTGCTTCCAGGAGCTGTAATTAAAAAGATATTTAAATAATAATTACATTATTTTCAACGCTTCAGCCAACTTGATATTATTTTCTTGAGGTTTAATGTGATTCGTTTTGCTATTTCTACTTCCACGAACTAGGACAACCAAAATACCCAATACTCCCACCTAGTGGTGCATTTGCGCTATCCAGTAAACCTCTCCCATCCTCTTCCATCTCTCCTCTGTTTTTATCATGTTTTTGGAAAAGAGAGCAAATTAAAAAGTGGAGCAAAGAGGGGAGGACACAGTGACAGAGCTGGAAAAGTTTTATTTTTTTATTTTTTACTGGATGAGGAGTGAGAGCTGATGGGGGAGGGGAGGGAGGGAGAGACAAAGAAGGCAGATGGGGTCTTTGTGAAGGAGTGAAGGAGAAGAATTTACTCGACAATAGATGAATAGGTGAGGTAGAGGAGGAGAGAGGGGGAGAACTCAACCACCTGCTGTCCTCCCCTTTCTCCTCTTTCACTCACAACGCTCAGATTAACTTCCCTTTCAGTGCCTCCCTCCTCTTCTCCCCTCTCTCTCTCTCTCACACACACACACACACACACACACACACACACACACACACACACACACACACACACACACACACACACACACACACACACACACACACTCACGTCTGCACTTGTACGTTTCACACATTCATTTTTCTATCCCCCTTTTTTTCCTCAAGTATCTTAAGGTTGGAGAAATGTTCACCTCCTCCTCCGTCGCCACATATGGTGAAATCAGCCCGATACTCCATCCTCAGTAATTACCGCTGACGAACCTGTGACAGATTTGTCGTCTTATTTTCTGAACCCTTGTCTGCAGCTTGTAAACGTCCTGATGACTGGTTTAAATAACCATCAGAAGGACATAAACAGCACCATCAAGTCCTCCTTAAACGGCTCGTTAGTAAGAAGATTTCAGCGTTTTGCCTCCTGATATAAGAGGGAACATTTCTAATGATGAGTCTGTTTGTGGCAGAATTTCAGAAACCAAAGTATTATTGGACACTTTTAAGTATAGTATGTTATGTATAGTGTGTTTATTTTACCACGTGGCTCCGATCAGCTCCAGAGGCAACCGTTTTAAAGTTAAAGTCCCATTAGTTATCATTCACGGGTGAAGTTCATCTCCACATTCGACCCATTCCCGTGGGGAGAGGTGAGCTGCAGCTGTGGCTGCGCTCAGGAACTATTTGGTGTTTTAACCCTTAAAGCTGAGTGTCAAGCAGAGAGGCATTGGGTCCCATTGTTAAAGTCTTGGTATGACCCAACCAGGATTTGAACCCCGATCTCCCAGTCCCAGGGTGGACTATCTGTAAGCCACTGAGAAGGTTTTAGGTATAAATCCAAGTCAGGTTGCTTTTCCATTATGTTTTAAAGATGGTGGCTTGTATTTTATCTGAACATGGAGCCAAAGTTTTTTTTATTTGTGAGAAAAGTAAATAGTCGTATGTATGTTTTTATTGACAGGGATACCATTCGCCTCTCCAATCCGACTACCAGCCAATGGGAGGAGGTCTGCTGAACAGTGGATCAGTGATGTCATCATCAGTGGATTACCACCAGCTGGGCCGTCACACACCAAACCACCACCCCTCTCTGGACTGGAGCACTGATTACCATGGCAACGGGTTGGTATAAGCACCATAGTTTACAGTAATGGGTCACGTGAGAGGGGGCCACAGTAGAAGAAGAAGAAGAAGAAGAAGAAGAAAGTATCATTTCCTTAGCACCTCTCAAGATAAAAATCATGAGGCGCTTCAGAAAAACAAAAAATGTAAAAATATAAAAAATAATTTGGAAAATGTTTAAAAATATATTTTAAATGAACAAAATAGGCAATTGTGATTAAAAAAATGTTAAGAAAGAGAGAGAGTGAATAGGAAAGAGGGAAATCAGTGGATCCTGAGGAAGGTGGAATAGGTGGGGAGAGCAGAATAAAGAGAGAGTGGTGAAGGTCACACAAAAGCCAGCTTGAACAAGTGAGTCTTCAGCTGCTTTTTAAAGGAGACCACTGAGTCCACTGATCTCAGGCTCAGGGGGAGAGAGTTCCAGAATCTGGGGGCCACAGAAGCAAATGATCTGTCACCTTTGGTCTTTAGTCTGGTGCGTTGCACAACCAGTAGGCTTTGATCACTGGACCTCAGGGACCTGCTGGGGGTGTAGGGACTAAGAAGATCACCAATGTAAGATGGTGCTTGTCCATGTAAGGCCCTATAGACCAGAACCAGGATCTTGAAATGAACCCTGAAGTTGACTGGCAGCCAGTGAAGCTGGAGGAGAAGCGGGGTGATGTGAGTGTATTTGGAGGACTTGGTCAGAAGCCGAGCACAGGCATCCTGAACCACCTGCAGACGGTTCAGGGAGGTTCTGCTCAGACACGTGAAAAGAGAGTTACAGTAGTCTAAGCATGAGGAGATGAAGGTGTGGATAACTCTCAAGTTCAGAGCGGGACAGGATGGGACTCAGCTTAGCAATGTTCCTGAGATGGAAGAAGGAAGAGTGAACAAGAGAACTGACATGAGAATCCAGGGTGAGAGCTGGGTCAAAGGTTACGCCAAGATTCCTGACGGAAGGTTTGGTGTGAGAAGCAAGCTGACCAAGAGAGTCTCTGACTTTGGGAACCAGCTTGTCTGGGGCACAGATGAGGATCTCAGTCTTATCTTCATTCAGCTGAAGAAAGCTCCCATCATCCAGGTTCTGATAGAGTCTAAGCAGGTGTGTAACAGCTGCAGCTTTGACATCTCATGGGGCTTAAAGGAAATGTACAGTTGGATGTCATCTGCATAACGATGGTAGGAGATTCCTTTGAAGGAGCTCAGGATGTGCTGAAGAGGAAGCAGATAGAGGAGGAAGAGCAGAGGCCCCAGCACAGAACCTTATGGGACACCATGGATAAGGGAGGTGGTGGAGGACCTAAACTTGGAGACGGCCACAGAAAAGGAGCGTTCAGAAAGATAAGAGGAGAACCACTCCAGAGCAGTTCCTGATAGGCCTACCCAGTAAACACACATAAATGCTAATTATATTTACCCCTAATGAAGCGTTACCACAGGCTTGAGCTTTAATGAGTGAATCATTGAGCTATAGCTTCTCAAATTTATACAAAAAATAAAGTTTCAAGATCAGTTATCTTGAGTAACCGATAATTGTGTTTATAAAGCTGGATTTAAGCTGATGTTTATGTATTTAGCAGACGCTTTTGTCCAATTGATAACCAAGCTAGCAGGTCACCCTTGAGGCTAACAACAAACACTGTTCAGTCAATCCTAGGTGGCAATGAGGCAGCATAATCAATCATAATGATGATGTGGTATCAACTTTTTTTTTTCTTTCCCAGTTTAGGCAGAAATTAGAATTATTGTCAAGAGTTAAATAATCCAAATATTAGGAGTCATGTTGGCTTTGATTCACCCCCCTGTGTCACCCTGATAGCCTTAAACATTTAAAATCTGATGCTGTTTAACTCATCAGGTAAAACATCTGTCCTGGTTATAGCTTGTGTTTGTTGTATTTATCCTTCCAGAGGTCTTCAGAGGGACAAGCCGTTGTATCTGAGCTAATCTCAGGATAAAATGACACCAAATATCGACCCTCATACTGCCACAACCTGAACCTCCTGCCTTGTGTCTCGGTCGGCGCGCGTCGGCCTGGTGCCGACCTAAATCCAGTAAAACTCCGACAGAATGGACTCCGAGTGGACTTTCAGACCTGTAATCATGAAGTAAACTTGAACTCAGCACTTAAAATAAGACTCCCATCTGAATGATGATGGAAGGATCTGTGTATATTCCCTGTTTAATGTAAAACAGTGTTAGCAAGTGACATGAACATCTGTATCTTTTCTACTGATCACGTAACCACCCTCGTTTCTGTTAAAACCTGTAAATAAATAAGATGTTGGCCGGTTCTGAGCCCTGAACTGTGGGGTATTTACTCCATGATTTCACTTCTTTTCTGTCTCCTCAGAACATTTTCATACCTAGTTTCTCATTTTTTTCTAAGGATGGTGTTTATGATGAGAACCAAAAAGGCTCCGCAGAGCATGTGTAAATGCTGTAACATAACTAAGTTGTCCTTTTAAAGCCAGCTGTTTTTGTTCTTGTTGACATTCTAGTTGTTGTTGTCGATACAGAAACAGAACCCAAACTTACAATTACAAACCAAATACTCTTCAAACTGTGTCCCCTTAGGACAGACGTCCCCGATTTGTCTGCAGAGACACAAACAGGCCATTCTGAGACCTGAACACAGGAGTAAAGACTAAAGATAAACCAGAGGGCTTTTTCTTTGTTTAACCAGGCGCCTACTGTGAATAATTGTAAGATTAAAGAATTTTCATTGTTTGCTTGATAAAAAAAAAATCTGATGTATTTTAGTCCCTGAAATAATAAACAATTGAACTCCTCTGAATGAAGCCAGCTCCTCTTCCTGGCATATGTCTGTTAATAATATTGATTTGGATCCAGACAGTGTGTGTGTGTGTGTGTGTGTGTGTGTGTGTGTGTGTGTGTGTGTGTGTGTGTGTGTGTGTGTGTGTGTGTGTGTGTGTGTGTGTGTGTGTGCGTGTGCGTGTGTGCGCGTGTGTGTGTGTGAAGTGTTAATGAGACAGCAGAGTGGGTGATCGGGTTGCATGGTCTCTCTCTCTCTTGTCATCTGTATTTCTCTGTACTCAGAGACTATTTAAGAAACTATAACTGGCTGTGTTTTAATGTTTTTAATCAACATGAAGTTTGTTTTAGTGTTAATGATAATGATGGGAGACGCATCTCTCTCACTCGCTCTGTATCTCTTTGTATTCATGTGAGGGTTTTTTTGGAGGGGGATGGGGGCAGATGAAAGACCTCTGAGCAACAACCATGAAGATTTTTCTTATTTTTAGATTCTAACATTGTGTTTGAGAATAAAGTCAACGCTGCATTAATGTGCAGTCATTACTCCAGACCTGCCTGTTTCATGTTGTTTCTGTCTGCACACCTTTACCTGCATCCTTGCTTAACAAATGTTACACTTAGCTGTAACTGTGGTCCTGTGTTCCTATGAGCTGTAGCTTTATATAGTCACACATAAAGCAGCTTGGTAAATACTAAACTAAGATAATGGCATGAAATTCTGCCTTCAAGCTGACTTTAAAAATGGATTATTGACGCTTTATCTTGGAAAATGATGTTTTAGGAAGTCTGATAAAAGCCTTAGCTAAATGTCACACATGAAGGTGTTTAAGTGTCTCATGGTCTTGTTCACGAGTGAGGGAAAGATGGAGCGCGAGATCGACAGCTAAACTGGTGCTGCGTCTGCAGTGATGCGGGCGTTGTACCGGCCTGTCGTGGTGAAGAGAGAGCTGAGTCAGAAGGTGAAGCTCTCGATTTACCGGTCGATCTACGTTCCTACCCTCACCTGTGGTCATGAGCTTTGGGTAGTGACCGAAAGAATGAGATCGTGGATACAACTGGTTGAAATAAGTTTTCTCCACAGGGTGTCTGGGCTCTCTCTTAGAGACAGAGTGAGAAGCTCGGTCATCCGGGAGGGGCTTGGAGTAGATCCGTTGCTCCTCCACATCGAGAGGAGCCAGTTGAGGTGACTCGGGCATCTAGTTAGGATGCCTCCTGGACGCCTCCCTGGTGAGGTTTTCCAAACAGAAAGAGACCCAAGGGAAGTCCCAGGACACGCTGGAGGGACTATGTCTCTCAGCTGGCCAGGGAACGCCTTGGGATTCCCCCGGAAGAGCTGGGCAGAGGGAAGCCTGGGCCTACCTGCTTAGGCTACTGCCCCCGCGCCCCGACCTCAGATCAGCAGCCAAAAATGGATGTATTGATAAATCTTAACTTTTAACTTTTAACTGTTGATGAGAGATGATCAGAAGAGGCTCCTGATTCTCATCACGATTATTGATTGTGTTAAACGTTCATACTTTAGAAACATAATTAAAACATTTTAGTAGGGCTGGACAATAATAATAATAGGTATTGTTCAATAGCCGATAGTGATAAGAAAAAAATGGGTCCATAAAAAGGTTTTATTTCTTTTTTCTGTTGTAGGTATCTTAATACTTGAGTCAATACTTACTCCCAACCGATCAAAAACACAGACCCAGGCACGCTCCGTCACCAAGCCCCAAAGCAGACAGCAAGAGGTGGAGGAAATAGTCCCGTTTACAGGTTGCAGTTGTTCACCAGCAGTCTGGTACCCCAGCCACCTTGTTTTATCACTAAGTAATGACACAAAATGACCAGGGCCGCACTTGAAATACATTTTCTACATTTCTTTATAATTATTTATATCAATCAACATGATTTTTTTATCTATATCATCCAGCCCTACGTTCTAGTCAGACAAAATTTTAAAAGGTTGATGAAGCTGTTCAGATGAAGCTTAGACTAGAAAAGTTTATCGGTCTAAGAAACTCACACCCAGAATATTTGAGCTTTTTTTTCAGCTTAAATGAGTTCATGAGTAAATAAAAAATAATCAAGCAAAGCTACAAAAGTACAAGTTAAGACCATTTTGTCAAATACTGTTAAAAATAAGGCGTTTAGTCTTCGACTGTTTAATAAAACTTTTATCCACGTCTGGATGGGAGCAGCTAGCGTATTTTCCTCTCCAGTGCAGTGGGGGGGCGGCTGGATGTCTTTTCGGGGATAATCAGCTTCAGCCTCCTCCTCGGAGACGAACCTCCCTCCTCCGACAGGAGCTCCTGATGCAGGAGAGCCCCGGCTGCAGCTTCTGGAGGAGAGTCGCTCTCTAAGGCTGAGACGTCCACACCTGCTGCTGCACCTTCAGGTAAAGGTGCAGCACCAGGTGGCAGGTTGGCGGTGGAGCCAGCAGGGACAGCTCTGGTCTCTGTTTGACCGTTTGACATGTTGTCCACTGTTGTCTCCTGTTCAGAAACCTGTGAAGGAGCTCCAGACACATCCTGACCTCGGTCAGGGATGCTGTCTGTGACTGGAGCTGTTCGAGGCTGAAGTAGTCCTTCTCCCGTCTGTGAACTTTGACCTGCTGGATCGGGCTTCAGGAAAATCCCAGGAGCAGAGCTTTCAGAAGGAAGCTGGTTCTGAGACAAGAGGGCTGGACTAGCAGCTGGGTTCGCTAAACTCAGGCTGAGTTCTTGTGACGTGAGGAGAGGCACTGAAGACGTGGCTGGTCTGCCGAAGCCCTCAGTGGAAGCTCTTGGGGTCGCGTTGGACCCACTGAGGCCTGCACCAGGAGGATTAGCACCAGGTAGTAGTATGTTAGGTGGTCCTGATGTGAAGGGAAGAGCACTCCCTCCCTGAAGAGAAAGACTGTTGCCGGTTAGCTGTGAGCCAGCTGATCCCAGCAAGGAGAAGTTCCTGTCTGCAGGAAAGAAGGGGAAGGTCTGAGCGCCGCCCCGTCCCAGTCCAGCCGTCTGGTACTGAACTGGTACCTGCAGACCTTGTGTCACAGGTGTGAAGCCCTCTGGGTTCTGGTTCTCCTTCGGTTTTCCTTCAGAACCTTGCTGGCCTTCTCTCTCATCCTGTGAAGCTGCTTTTTTCATCTTGGCATCCTTTCTTTTCCCTCCTTCCTGTTGTTTCATCTCCTCCTCCTCCCTTCCATTGTTGGAGGATTGCCTCCCTTTCTCTCTGCTACGCTTTAATTTCCTCTCACGTTTCTCCTCTCCGTCCACCTCTTCTCTGTCTTTTCCGTGGCGTTTTTTCTGTTTTCTTCTCTTGGGGCTCTCGTTTTCTGAGAGCTTGCTTCTCCTCCCGGGATGAACCTTGGTTTTTCTGAGAGGGTTGAGGTTGAGTTTGACCTTGAGCGAGCGGCTGGGTTGGGCTTTGTGCCCGAGAGCTGCAGCCTCGTCCTGCAGGCTTCCCTCCTCCTGTCTGGTCTTCAGACTCTGAAGATCAAACTTCACATTTCTCGAGTCTCTTTTGAACTCTGTGTTTGTTACCGTTTCAAACTGTCTGTTCCTTCCTCTGCCGTTCAGAGCCTGAACCTCATCCTGCTCTGGTACTTTGGACATCCTGAGGCAGCTTTTGCAGAAGAAGTTCTCATTACCTCTGATGTTTTCATCCATGTCAGTCCTGTGGTTGTCCATGTTCCTGTCAGCTCTATGGGATGGCCAGGTTTCTGTCGTCTCTCTGAGTGGATGAGAAGAAGAGCTGGTGTTGTGTGTATTCAGAACATCCCTGATTGAGTTCTGTTGATGGACAGCTGTCCGACTCCTCTCTTCGTCCATCATCATCTTCTTAACTCTCCTCCTCTCCTTGTCCTCCTCAGCTCTAATTCCCCCGTTCATCCAGTTGTCCTTCCTCACTGGAATCTGTCCATTGGTCCTGCTCTGTGAACGTCCAACACGACGATCCGTTCTTCCGTCCAACGTCGAGGAGTCTTTGTTCCACAGCTCGCTGCTGTCGGCGTAAAACAGAGCGTCCCTGGTCCTCTCCGCAGCGTCCAGATGATAGGAGTGGTTAGCCGCAGGGCTGCTTTGATCTTCTTCCTCTTCAAGTCTACATATTTCTTTGACAGCTTTCCTCTGAGACACTTGGTGGTAAATCAGGACTACTAGAAGGGTCAAACCAACACCGCCTGAAGGTAAACGCATTAGAATTAATTCAAATCCGATGTTTCTGAATCAATTCACAGATGAATCGATTATTCTCACCAATGAAGCAGATCACCGCGGTAATGGCCAGATTTCGAGCGTACTCTTGAGGTGTCACACCACCTTTTGTCTCGATCTTCAACGTGATATTCTGATTGGAGGGGACACAGTTGGCCTCGGTCAGCTCCAGAACCGTGGTCACGGCCGGGTTGTCGGTGCTCACACACACCATCCGGCGGCCATTATAGAGGCTCTGACAGCAGCAGCGAGGAGGTGTGTAAATGCTAATGCTAATATGGTGATTTGCAGACATTGGCGAGAGCTTTCTCACCTTGTCTGGTTGTTGAATGAAGCTGGAGAGGACAGATGCCAGATCCACCAGCTCACAGGAGCAGTTCCACAAGTTCAGGTCCAAGTTGAGGTTTGTCAACCAGGCGAGGTAGGAAAATGCCTCAGCGGGTGCAGAATGCAGACGGTTCCTGGAGAGATCCAGAGTCTTCAAGCTCATCAGGCCTCTGAAACTAAAGCAGCATGGATAAAACACTGCAAATATTGTTTATTTATTATGTTTGTTAAATCAAAAATAAGTCCTGACCTGAATCTGTCAAGTTGTTGAAGCAAATTATCTGACAAATCCAGACTCTCCAGATACCTGAAGTCATTCAGAGGAAAGGATCCAGAGTCCAGTGTGGTGAGCAGGTTTCCCTCGAGCTTTAGACTCAGTAAAGCCTTCATGCCTCTAAACCAACTAGCCCGCACCTGCAAACCACAGAAAACACAAAGTATTTCTTAGATTATTCAGTTTTATGGTATTTTTGTCAATTTTGCGGGTGTACCTACCATGGTGATGAGGTTGTGGCCCAGGGTGAGAACCTCCAGGTGGGTGAGATTGGTCAGAGCTCCACCCTGTAACGTCTGGCTGGTCAGGAAGTTGTGGTCCAGAAGTAACGTCTGAAGGAAGGGTAGGTGTCTGAAGGCCTCTCCACTGAGCTCTGAGATCTGGTTATCACTCAGACCTGAGCAACAAAAAAGCTGTTTGAATCCCAGACACACACACACACACACACACACACACACACACACACACACACACACACACACACACACTCCAGACCTAAAACTGTGATGTTTGTGAGGTTTGAGAACGAAGCAGGTTGGACCGCAGAGATGGAGCCCTCCAGCAGCAGCAGAGCCTGGGTCGACCGTGCAGCATCTGCTCTCACAAACACACGTTATGGGTAACATCCACCATGACAGACACATATTTGAAGGCTTGAGCCATCACATCTCCCTCATCAGGGCATTTGTTGTACCAATAAAGTGAGCCAGCCTCTGACAGATGATTGCGTCCTCAGAACAAAGCACACAGGAAGCAGGACAGGAAGGGACAGGAGACACACGCTGGACTGTAACAACTGGCAGCAGGAGCATCAGCCAAATACCTGGAAACCAATTCAAACCAGAGGCTCTTTATTTTAGCAAGAAATCCCACTGACACTTTGTTTATGTTTATAAATGGCGAAATTCTCACAGGTCATGTTGTGTTACCATGGAAGTAACATGATGATGACGATGGTGTTGAAGAAGAGGCATGTCCTCCATGGAGCTGTAACCTGAAACAGCTTCTTTAGCATCACTTCTGAGGTTGGTTTAGTCTGAAAACAACAACAAAAACATGTGACACACTGTGTGTAAACATGTTCATAAATCAGTCATGATGTCAGGATTTTGTTTTCCTGTTGTTGTTTTTGTCGCCAAGCAGACAAACGGTGATGTGGACAATTGTCCCAGGAGGACGCTGACTGACGGACAACAGCCAGATGTTGAAGCAGAATGAAGCCTATCAGGTTTCTGCTGAAACTCCTTCACTAATGGACTTCTCTCTAGAGAGACGTCCTTTCTGATGGACTAAAGTGAGTCATCACGATGGAGCACGAGTGTGACCATGAGGGCCTTTTATCTCAAAGCTCCACTCAGCTGGAGGTACATAGAACTTAAAACCCAGCATTTTCAATGTTTATCTCTTTTTTATTATTATTATTGTTTATTTGTTATATTTATTTAGGGTATTTTAAATGAGCGTTAGTTCCTATTAGCCTTCTTATTTTTTGCTAAATCATAAAAACTGATCAAGCCTTTATTTTTGACTGGGTTAACCGTTTCCAAAAAAAGTTTGAGATTAAATATTGTTTTTCTACAAATCAAATCCGTGAAGCAAATCCTATAAAATAAACTGAAGAGAAATGCATCAACAAATTAAAATGATTTATTTAATAAAGCAATCACAATGTTAACGGCTGGAGCCAATATAATACATTTTGTGAAGTTTGGATGAATAATTTCTGATTTTTTGAGATTAAGGGTGGGATTACATGAGTGTGCTCTTCTTCCTGCTACTGGTTGGACATGTGGGTTGATCAGGAAGGATGGAGCTTGTGATGAGACACAAAGTTTGATTAATTGAGTTATTGTTTAAGTTTTAATCAAAAACAGAGGAGTGATGAAGAAATGGCTCACGATTCTGATCCATCAAAGTTTTTACACAATAACATAAAAAATGTGTTCAAAGTGTTTAAACTGTTTTATAATTATTTATTAGCAGATAAAATCAAATACTTTAGTAACTTGAGTAAAAACATGTCAACAGTAAAACCACTGAGGAATATTGTGTAATTTTCTGAATTATTAATCCAGATTAATTATGTCAGTAATTTACAATAGCCAGTGTCATTCTACTGCTTTTACTAAAGCTGTTTGTTTTCATATTTAATACAAGCTGTAGAGACTTTATGTAAAATTCTGCATTAGATTTTGGGACATTTTTGTTTTTCCTAATTTAATTAAGATTTGCAGAATCAGACACATAAAAAAGTTGGTAAGATAATTTATGAGGCTTTAGAGGAGCATCAACCAAAATCAGATTATTCTAGTCACGCCAAATAAAGAACGTCAGATCACACCACAGTAAATCTAATAAATAATTAAAGAGCTCTGATCTTCATCAAATCAATTTAAAACACATTAAAAAAACTCACCTTTTAAATAAAACCCCAAGTTTCTCCTCTGTTGATCCTCTCATGCTGTCTGGGATGGTCAGCGCTGTTAGCTGAGCTTCATGGTTGCTACAGCACTCCACTGTGTATCAGTGTGTCAAGCTTAGGTTACCTGGCTGCTTCCTGAGCATGCTCAGTAGAGCCGTCACCTGAGAAACACAGGTGTCATGTCTGTGAGGCTTGAACTTTACACCCAGAGCTGAGCCTGCTGGATGTGAGTCATCCAGTACAAAACCCTGCAGGCATGAATAAACACGTTGTCTTCAAAACTAATTTAACACGTTTATATTTAGCTAATACAAACTTTTTGGGTGTGGAAATTTTAATTAATTAGGGATTTTCTCCAATTACCCTGAAAACACGAAACAGCTCACAGTTTGTTTTCATTCATTTTGATTCTTCGGGAGAAACGAGTGCTTTTCTTGAATGATCCAGTTATTTCCAAACTTCTTTTACTGTTCCTGAATGCATCACATGACCCATTTTAACTACTGTGTGAATGAAATATTTTACTCCGACATCTAAAGCCAGGCCAGCTGTCAGTTATTATGCTGTCATATAAAAAGTTTTGAACTGAACTTTTCTGACTGAATGTTGATTATTGTTTTGTTTGTAGAAGAGAGGAGATCTGATCCGATCACAACATTACCGGGTCTAAAAGGAGAGAGGAGAAGAAGACGAGGTAGTGCTGCTGACAGCCTGTCAGACTGCATCCACCACGATGTGACAATGAGGTCTACTCCATTTTGACAGGGTGTACTACAAATACACACACACACACACACACACACACACACACACACACACACACACACACACACACACACACACACACACACAGAGAGAGAGAGAGTCTGTACATTTGCAAACATTTCAATACAGTTATGAGCTCATTGTTTTTGCACAAAAACAATTCCAGTCCTCTGCAGAGATCTCTGGATTCTAGAATATTTGTGTTCATGGAGCCAATGTCTGACGAGATTTACCCCTTTGCAGACTTTTCATCTAACAGACACTGGGTTATGATTTTGTGGATGTAAATACGTAATAAATTGATGCATCAAGATCTGCAAGGGTCCATTGTGACAGCTCAGACAAACCAGTTGAGTCAAGAAATGACATAAACACTTACATCCTGAACACATGCATTTATGGTATGTTACTGCAGATCTAAATGTATTTAGACATTAAAGGTGCATTATGTATAAATGAGGAAAGAATGACATCCTGTGGTCAAATGTGGTCACTGCAATCCCTTTCTCATAAGTGTCATGGCTTTAGCCAGTTACGAATTAGCGCCAGAAGACTCTAGATGACAAGCTAAGATGACTCATACAGTAAGTTTATAAGCAGATAAATACGTTGTCAAATGTGGTGTTAGCACTCTTGGGTGTTTTAGGGAGCACTTACTACACTCATTAAAGTAATATTTCTCAGGCATAGGAGGAAGTGTGTTTGCTGTCTTGCTGTTACAGTTCTGAGCAACTCACCAGTTTGCAACACAAACATTTCACTGTAACATCGAGTTGTTGGTAATAGAAAATGTAGCAATAAGATAATCATAGAGCCAACCTTTTGCTTCTAATTCACCGTTAGCATTGTTGGCTCAGAAGTAGCCTCAAGCCTTCTTTACCCAATATTAGAATAAAACAAAAAGAGGGGTACAAGAAATAACTTCCAGGTCGCTCCAGTTTACTGGCTTCAGTTCTTTAAACAACTCTGGAGCTTTTTTTCCTGGTGGTGTCAAATTACAAATGCCATGGCCGCCATGGTGAGCACAGACTCACCAACCTCACAAACTCACTGATTGTAATCGGTGACATCGTAACTGACAACCAACCAGCTGCCTGAGAAAGACATCTGTTTTAATGTAACCTTCCCTCTGACATGATTGAGAAATTAGACTGTTTTCATGCCTTTAACCAACCAGCCTGGACCTGATCAACATGGAAGAATTTAATGTGAAATTCTTCCACGTTGATCCTTTAACATGTTTAAATACAAGCCAAACACAATAATGTCAGGACTTTTCTTTTTTAGTTATTTTTATACTTTGTTTCATTTTTAACAAAAGTGATGCCGTGACACCGACTGAACCACAAAGACTAAAGTAATCCATTTAACATTTACAGAGCAGTTTAGAGGGCCATCTAGTATCACACACACACACACACACACACACACACACACACACACACACACACACACACACACACACACACACACACACACACAACGCCTGAGTAGTTTAATGTGATGACACACAACGAAGGATTCGGGCAACATCACATTTCAACCTCACATCTCTCTTTGTTTCTGTACGATTCACAGGAGCAACATTGTTTTCATAAAGAAACAAAATGTTTTGTTGCACACTTGTGTTTTCTCAACAGGTTTTTAATGAGCATTTTCACCCATTTGTTTATTACTTTGTCAGAACCTAACGACTCTGACTGCAAAAACAAACACAAACACTCTGAGACAAACAGAGAGAAAACAGGAGGAAAAACAGGAAAAAAGGGGGGTCCAAACTGAAAGAAATGCAGTGCAGCACATCAATCATTAGGATGATTATTATGGCAGTCGTCATGGCAACATCCACCCATCCCCCTTTCCCTCCTCTCCTCTCCCTCCATTTTTTTCTTCTCTTTTGCTCTCAAATCAATTCAAATGCACTTAAATGCCAACAAAGATGCAGCGTGTGCGGATGAATCAAAAGAGATCAAAAGAGAGAGCAACACATAAAAGCAACACAAATCATAAAAAATACAACTAACTATCTGGTTTCATTCCAATCAATTTATTAAAAGTGTTAAATAAAAATAATTTCCTCAAGTTTTAATTATGATGCAAACAAACCCAGCTAACAGCAGCATAATGGGGCTTTCACCTGATATGAAACACTCATCTGCAGCAGGAAGATGGCACTGTTCACGGTGAATGCAGGCTACTGGTGAGTAGATTTAGGCTTTCAGAGCTTTTCTTTGCTTTTTTCATCTGCTTTCATTCATAATCATACAGATTTGTGTTCTTATAACGAAATGGAGACACAACCTGTAAATAATGACCTCTGAGATCTAGTTGACACGTGGTTTTTGTTTCAGTTGCCAGGGAGAAAACATGTTAGGATGATGGTTTATTGTAATTGTTATTAGTGGAACATTACCTAAGTAAGAGTTTAGGCAAATCCCCAGGGACAGATGTTTGTTGAGAGGTTGGCTGTGTTGTCCTTTAGCTCGGGAACTTTGACCTCTGCAGAAAGTCCTTTAAAGCTTGAATAATTTTCTCCTTGTTTTTCTGCATCGGATACAATTAATCCTAATAACGGTCCGCCCATCTTTTTCTAAACCAGTCCTTGAAGAGACTTTTGTTAACTTATGATGAACAGCCTCCAAGAGCTCAAATTAGTTAAAACTCAACCTCTGTGTTTTTGTATTTGGGTCCATACTTGGATTTTTTTATGATGCTTTTATTTATATTAAAAATGAACGATTTGGAACAAAATAAATTGCTCTTAAAAAGAGCCAGTAGACAAATAAAATATATTTTATTCTTGTAGTATGTTAAATATAATAGAAGTTTTCTTAGTTTTTAGAGATTTTTAAAAAATATTTCTGACATTTGATTCAATTCAATTCAAAAATACTTTATTAATCCCAGAGGGAAATTAGAGATAATGCAGCAGATCAATTTTATATTGAATAAAGCATTGACTGAGTTTGCTCTAACACGCCTTTATTTTTATTATTTTAGGATACAATAAAAAAGTTGTAGATTTCCAGACTTAAGGACTTTTCTAGTCTTTTGCTTATTTTTTAAATGGACGTTTTCAGGTGTGCGTGTGATGCATCTTTTTACCAGCAGGTGGGAGTATTGCAACACATTTAGATCTGTCATAAAATTATTACAACTGCAACACTTACCCTTATACTGCAGTGTCACTGTATTATTTCCTTTATTTTATTTCTAATTAGGTTAGCTTATATGACAATAAAGCACACCTAATCAATTTTAAGATTACATTTTAGTTTATTTCATACATTTGTGACATTTTTTAAATCCACCTAAGGTTGGATTGTGGGTTAAGCCTCACATTTTTAGAGAGGAATAAAATAAAAAATGTTTAATTTTAACAAAATCTTTTAACAGTATATAATTAGGTGACTCTGGAAAAGGTCAACATGAATGATTCCTTTATTATTTTTTATCGTTGGTATAAAGTTGCTCCAAATCTAGCCTAGTGAACTAGACCATTCTTGCTTTGCAAAGTTTGGTCTAGGCACGCTCCATTGGAACCTCCGCAGCTCCAAACCAGGACTCTGGCTAGCCAATCACAGCTCTCTAGAGGGGTTTCAAGCACATGAAGAGCTGTGATTGGTCCATAATGGTGGCCCAATCATAGTGCTCTATCTGCTTAGTGAACAAATCACAGAGCTTTATCCGCTTTGTGGGCCAATCAGGGCACTCTATATGCCTGGTGGGTGGGATGATGCAACAGAGTGAAACAAGAGTATGTCACATTCATTGTCCAGTGGAATGCGGAGATCATTTGAAAGACAACGGTAGAACCCGCCCCACAACCGAGAACCATCAATGGAGCATGGCCAGACTAAATAATACATTTATTTAGTCTGGCTTGCCAGGCTAGGGGCTTGCTCCAAATGCAGGATGTGAGAAAAAAATCCTGTTTTTTTTCAATCAATCAAAGCTTTATTTATAAAGCGCCTTCCGCAACACTGTCAGGAAGCCCAAGGCGCTGAAAAGTCAGAAAAAACAGATTTTGTGCTGCATGATTTATTTTGAAATACACATTTCGTGTTGATGCAAAATATTTTCAGAATACATAAATGGCGATTCTGCCAAGTGAGATGCTTTTAAAAGATGTCTTTACATTTTTATGATATGATGATTGATAAACTGTCTGCCTCCTGAATCCCGTTTTCCAGCTTTGTCTAACCAGTGAAACTCATCCGATCTGCACCAAGAGTTTAAACAAATGTAAAAGTCCTACATAAACAGCCACACCCTGATAAATAAAGCCACCTGATGTTTCTGTCAAATATTTGGACAACTCTCCAACAGACTCCAGCAGCCATTCTAGTGAGTCACTGTTATGTTTTATTGTTGCTTCACAGTAACAGTCATCAGTTCTCTCCTATTATATTAGTTTAAACAGTGCATTTACATGACTACACACACACACACACACACACACAGAAGTTAAACCACATAAATAATGTCTAGGGAATCGTGTTTAATTCAGGTTTAAAGCTGCTCACATTCATGAGTGACATTCTTCAAATCAAAGAAATGAAAACCTGTCCACAGTTGAATAAGACAGAGGTTGTTACTGTGGTTAAAACACAGATTAAACAGCTACTAATGGTGTTGGTTTATTTTCTAACTACTAATAACCTTTTCTTGGACTTTTAAAGGAAAACTCGGATTTACTGGAAAACTCTTGACTCTAGTTTGTTCTTTACAAAAACTAAAAAGCACTATTTTGTATGAAATATGAATGCTTTCTCACAGAAAATTAACCTTTGATGACCCATGTCTGACTATTAAGATAGGATGGATGTTTGCAGATTTTACTTTCAGCCTTCAACTACAGTAAAACAAACAAATTAAACTCAAGTTTGTGCTAAAGAAGGTCCATCTGAGGCATGGAGCGTCAGAGGAATGACCTCAGTAAAGTGTGTGTGTGTGTGTGTGTGTGTGTGTGTGTGTGTGTGTGTGTGTGTGTGTGTGTGTGTGTGTGTGTTCCAAAATGTCTGAAGTTCAAGCTTCTTTCTGTTGTGACAGCAGGTATGGTCAGATAAGCTTCCAAATTCACTCACACACACACACACACACACACACACACACACACACACACACACACACACACACACACACACACACACACACACACACAGCCTGCAGTGAGGGTGAGGAATTATCATCTTCATCCACTTTCAATCTACAGCTGAACCACGTCCCTTTCGCCTCTTGTTCTGCTTCCACTCCTCGATCCTCCTTTCTCCTCTCTTCTGTAAAAACAAGAACACCACAGACCAGATGATTTCCAAAATGTTGCTGTTCCATCCTTGATTCCTGATTTAGATTAAAGAGCAATTTTAAGTACCTGAAACATACCTGTTTTTTGTCTTTTTCCTACTCTAATTATTAGGTTGATAATCTGAACCTTCAAGTGATTTTTCCTGGCAATAGGGGGGAGTGCATGCCTAAATCATTGCAAACAAGCAGTATTTTTATGTTCAAGTAAGACATTACCAACAGATGGCCATTAGGGTCAAAAATCCCTAGGAGTGCAACCTCCAGCAAAATAACAATCACATCAGACTCCCTTTCATCACTGGCAACAAGTGAAGAGGTAAATGTGTAAAACAACAATGTTTATGAATGGTGAAAGTTTTGTGACAGTTTGCTTCACAGCAGTAAATGCATTTTGTCCTCACGGGTTCCCGTAGAAGAAAGCATGGCGTCAAATACGGCATCGCCCAGAGATTTAGGACCAGTCTCAGTACTCGCACTGCACCCTGTGGTCTTCAGCAAAGTGCACTTGGAGGAAGTGCACTGTAAGGCTTCAAGTACGTAGTACATAAGTGCGCAAATACTTGCCTAAGACAGGGAGCATTGCTTCATCGACTGCAACGCATGCTGGGATGCTGGTCTCTGTGAAACTTTTTCAAAAACCTTTATTAACAACTTTCAAACAAACAGTTATTTAAAATCAATTTAAATTTATTGCTGTTTTGTCTAAAACATTCAGAGTTCCTAAAATGAACTAATTTCATTAGAAAATACATATTGTCAGAAAAGGAACTTGAGCCATTTCTCCCGCAGCAATGGATTGTGGGTAATTTTGCAGATCAAGGGTGCAAAAGGGGCGTGATAAACTTCCGCACTTGAAAATCGGGACATCCTACGACTCACACTCCTGATCGGGACTATGCAATTGAAGGGCACAAGTGTGGAAGTGTGAGTATTGAGATTGGGCCTTAGACGCGCTCCCATTTATTTTTTAACCCGATTTTTATGGTTATATGTTTCGAAACCATCATTTTTTTTTTCACCAACTGGGCGTCGTTTAATTCATTTTCAACAACATCTTGATGGATATTTCCAGAAATCAATGGTAAAAACTTCACATTGTCTCTTTAAAATGCACCTGGATTAGCAGGATCATTGTATTTGTATGAAATCCTCCACAAAACTAAAAACACTTTAAACAGATTTAAGCAGGATGCTGAAGGGCAGCTCTGCACAGATGACAAGACGAATAAAATATATTTAAATAAAGAAATTCTACTAAAGCACGGCTACATGAGTACATGAGATCATGTGTTTTTCTTGTAAGAAACACATTCAATCACATTTAAATAACTCATATTCTCACTAAGTATTCATTCGAATGAAAAAATTTTCCTTATTAATCTGTTGTGTCCTTGGGCAAGACTTGGTGGTCGGAGGTGGAGCCTCTGTCGGTGAGCTACAGGGCAGCTGTGGCTAGATTGTAGCTCATCCTCAGCAGCAAATGGTTGAAAGACGCATGGCTTTGTAAGGTGCTTTGGGGGGTTGTAGAACCCTAAGAGGGCACTGAACAAATCCATCCCATTTACCATTTAAAGGTGGGGAATGTGTTAATTTTGCACAATAAAGAAAGGACGCAGATTTTAAACAGGTCTGTACATGATTTTGTAACCATTTTGTATAAATAATTTATATTTGTTTTGTGTAAATAACATGTAATTGTTTTTAGTAGAACACCTCTCAACATGTTCAGAAAGCATCTTCAGTTGCTTGTTACATCTCTGGTCTCGTTAAAGCAGAAATAGATGTTATTCTTTAAAAGTTGCAGAACTCTAACAGGAACCATAAGAAAATCTATACTTTCAGTTTGACCAAAGTCAAAAGATTGTTTGAACTGCTGGCCTCTTGGATGAAGAAAATACAAACAACAACAAATGGACTATTAGCTTGTTCTAAAAGTCCCCAGCCTATAGTCCAGGTGGCTTTGAGTCGCTGGGACCACCTCCGTATCTGTTTTCACCCAAAAACAAAAGCCCTCTGTTGTTCCTTCCCTTAAGCTCCTTGTTTTCCAGCCTTCATCACATCACAGTGCCCTTCATCTGCTCCCTTATGATGTTTACCTCAAGTCTCACGTCCTTCTGTTTCTCTCATCTTGCTGCTACTAGAATACAAAATCTCCCCCCGTGATCAGTCATAAAACAGGCCAGTGAGGAACTCCATTCCTCATTGCTGCAAGTCGTTCAGCATTTAACGTCAAGGCTGCAAAAATAGCCACAGTTAGGTCATAGTTTCTGCTTGCACAGTTAAAGGTGCAACATGTAAGACATCCTGTGGTCAAAATGAGTTACTGCAGTCCCTTTCTCGCTGCCATTCCGTGAGTTTCATGGTTGTTGCCAGTTACAGATCAGCACCAGAAGATTCTATATGACAAGCGAAGTCATGCACAGTAAGTTGTTAAGATAAATACAATGTCATATCTGCTGTTAGTACTCGGGTGGTTAACGGTATGAAGAAATTACCACATTTTAAAGTCAATCAAAACTTTTTTTATATAGCCCATTTGATGCAAGGCAATGCAACGTGCTTCACAACAAATCATGACATGAATAAGCTGTAGAGCTTAAACTCTGTAAACACCAATGTAAATGAAAATCACATTTACACAAATTACTCCACATATGTCTATACATCCACTCATACATGCATGCATGCGCACACACACACACACAGACTCTTCAAGACAGTCTAGCATATACAGAACCACACATTGGTTCCACACACACTCCAAAAAGTGTGTAAAGGCTTCTTAATATGTGCACATTGGCACAGTGCAAAAGCAGTTGAGACAAATGATACAAATAACATAAACAAATAAAATAAATAACTTAACTTAAGCTAAATACAATCGGTAAGTGGGCTTTTTAATCATAGTATTCTCTAAAATCGATATATAAAACTAAGGAGTTACTTAATTATAAGACTCTGAATAAAAGGTTTTTAAACTAGCTTTAAAAATATTCTAAATGGGCGCTCCTCTAAGATCTAAAGACCAGCTCAGTGGCCTAGTGGTAGAGTGTCCGCCCTGAGACTGGCAGATCAAGGTTTGATTCCTGGTCGGGTCATACCAAAGACTTTGAAAAAATAGGACCCAATGCCTCCCTGCTTGACAGGTTGAATTGGGGGGGTTAAACCACCAAATGGTTCCCGAGCGCGGCTGTATCTGCAGCTCACTTCTCCCCCAGGGGATGGGTCGAATGCGGAGAACAAATTTTGCACACACATCAGTGTGTGTGTGACAACTGATGGGACTTTAAAGGCAGGATGTTCAAATATATTGGTGCAAACGCGCTGAAAGCTGCTTCACCGGATTTAGAATGTGATATTTTCAGATTACCATGGTCTGTAGACCTGAGTGACCTGATTGGTGCATAGGGGACTAACTATGTACTGTGGGACCAAGCTTTTAAGAGCTTTGCATACTAATAGCCTGATTTTAACAGTAGTTATTTTCTCTACTGATGGCCATTACTGACTTGAGAGCAGGCGTTATATGATCAAATGTATTTGTACCAGTTAGAATTTGAGCAGCAGTGTTTTCAATCAGCTGCAGTGTTTAATCAGCGGGCTTAGAGAGGACGATGAAGAGGCCATTGCAGTAATCCAACCTACTGCGTATGAATGTGTGAACTAGTTTCTCATGGTCAGCTCTTGGAAAGTGTTTAATTGTAGAGATGTTTTGCAGATGGTAGAAAGATACAATTATTATGGTAATATTTCTCCAGCACTGGAGAAAGTGCAGCTGTTTGCCGCTTTGCTAGCTTGTTGTTTTGGTTCTGAATGACTCATTAAAGGAAGTAAAACTCCACAACTGACTCATGATTCACTTCACATTAGGGCTGGGGGTAAACGATTATTTTTAAAACGATTATTCTGACGATTATTTTATCGAATAGTCGACTATTCTAATGACTATTTAGAAAATTAATCTAATGATTATTTTTCTATTGCACAATTAACAAAAACCAGAAAATCTCAAATAAATTCCTCAAAAAAATTGATAAATTCTTACTGTAAGAGAATAAACACTACAGGCCTTCCATTTTGTATAACACTGCTTTTATTGTGTTGGTTGGTTATGTTCTGGTGACGTGTAGAACTTGGGAGTGCAGGCTGCTGCCTGAGAGGTGGTAGAAGATGGAGTGTCTCCATGCTGCTTTGTTTTGGTCACTTATGAGCGTGAGGCGAGTGGTGTTACGACTCTTCCTGGGGAGTTTGGCTCGTGTGCAAAAAGGAAGGGACAATAACGTGGGATTTAAAAGTTAAAATGATGATCAGGTTTATTTACAACTACAAAAAAACATAAATCTTTCCATCCACAGGTTGGGAATAATAAAACTAATTCTACCTGTGGGGAATTAAAACAAAAGTACAAATAAGTAGGGATGTCCCACTGGGCAAAGATTACAGGGTTCTGGACCAAAATAAGCATCTCCAAAGGTCCAAACTCTAAACTGGGCGGTTAAACCAAACTCAAGGTGATATTTTACACTAAACCGAAAACCCACAACACTCTAAATGTAATAAAAGGGAGATCTGCACCACAAAAAAGATGAACTCTAAACCAAAACGTAACAGCTTATCCCAACGCAAGAAGCTGTTAGCGAAGATGCTAACAGTAGCTTTACCAACATTAAGTTCAAGTTACCAAGTTTAAATAAACCAAAAACACCCAGCAGCAAACAGACCAGCACAGAGGAGAGACTGCTACCACCAAAACAGCTCTCCTCATGTCTGAAAGAAGCTCCTTAATGAAGGGAGAAACGCTCCCGGTGATTTTCTACACCTGCGGTAGAGACGAAGCAGCGCATCTGACCCCGGAAGTTGTTGTCCATTGCCGGGAGACGAAGGCGGGCAACACAGGAAAATAATCTAGTAGTGGACGGACATTGTTCCGGTCTTCGGTATTTGGCGGAGACGTTAGTGAAGGCGGAGAAGAGGGTGAACTAGAGGAAAAACAGGCAGATTCCTCCTCTATTTACAAACTCCTGGGGATGCAACAAGTGGGCGCGGTGCGTCGACTTCCGGATCTGACGTCGACAAATTTTTAGAATCGAGCCGTCGACGTCGTCGAGGCTTCGCTACAGCCCTACTTCACATACAGCAGGATCCAAAGGTGTGGGCAGCCCAGTTAGTCTTCATGATTTTCCTTTATAAATTGTTGGTTGTTATGATAAAATGTTCACTGAATATAATTTTCTCATTTCACAAAATATCATATAGGAGACTCAAACAGTGATGTTTGAGAAGTGAAACGAAGTTTATAGGATTTACAGAAAGTGCAATAATAGTTTAAACAAAATCAGGCATTCCATCTTTTAGTTCTTTTTAAAACACAGAAAAGGTTTTATTTACCTGCAACGTTTCGTTTGCGGCTGCAAACATCATCAGGCTGATGCTGATGGTGACGTCACTTCCTTCGTTATCCGCGGGCAGCAGAGGACGTTGTCGCCCTCTGCTGCCCGCTCTCCCCTCTCCGATGATGCAGTCCCATGCGTGATCCAGCGAGTAAACTCCATCGTCTCTGTTCATGGTCCCACATCCACGTCTCCTTATATCTATAGCTTCCTTTATCCATCTTTTGTATTTCTGTTGTTCGGTGTTTATGATCCTTGTGTTGTCCCAGTCCATTATATGGTTTTCTCTTGTGCAGTGATCTGTTACAGCTGACTTCTTTATTGTGCTTTCTGCTTCTTCTTTTGCTGCTCTTGTGTGTTTTCGACTTGCCTCTTTCTCGCACTTCTTTCTATGTTCTATTGTTCGTGTGTTGAGTTGGCGTCCAGTTTCTCCTATGTATGTTTTATTGCAGAGTTTGCATGGGAATGGGATTTTGTAAACAACTCCACACTTAAACCCAGCTGGTATCTTGTCTTTTGGGTGTACTAGTCTGTTTCTAACTGTTTTGTATGGTTTTGTTGGTGTCCAATAAAACATACATAGGAGAAACCGGACGCCAACTCAACACACGAACAATAGAATATAGAAAGGAGTGTGAGAAAGAGGCAAGTCAAAAACACACAAGAGCAGCAAAAGAAGAAGCAGAAAGCACAATAAAGAAGTCAGCCGTAACAGATCACTGCACAAGAGAAAACCATATAATGGACTGGGACAACACACGGATCATAAACACCGAACAACAGAAATACAAAAGATGGATAAAAGAAGCTATAGAGATAAGGAGACGTGGATGTGGGACCATGAAAAGAGACAATGGAGTTTACTCGTTGGATCGCGCATTGGGACTGTCACGTTGAGAGGACTGTTTGGACCCAAAATGCAGTAACCCAGGATGACGCGAGGCAGAAGTTGATATAAAGTAAAAGTCCTTTTATTGTAGGATGAACAAAAATAAATCCAAAAGGCTGGGAGCCAAAATCCTAAATCCAGAAACAGGAGAGCAAAGCTCAAATAGAGCACAAACTGGGGGCGAGACAGGAAGCTCACACAGAGCACCAAAAACAACGCTGACAGACATCAATGTACCGACACAACACAGAGACAAGACAGGGCTTATAAAGACTGGGAGGAGCAATTATGGAAACAGGAAGCAGTTGTGTGGAGTGAGGCTGGAGAGAAGGCAGGTGACAACAATTATCTGAATGAGGAAGAGAACCAGTGGAGGGCAGCTAAACCTAAAACTGAATAACACAAAGCTAAACCTAAAGGCTGAGGGAAGGACTAACACACATATACACTGAGCTGGGGACAAGGAGGCTGGAGCTACAACTGGAGGGGCTGGGGATGACCTGAAGGGCTACAAACAGAAGACACATAAATGAGATGCAGACAAAGGACACATGAGGGCGCTATGAGACACAAAAGTGGAATCTAAAGAGGGATGGAGGACCTCAGGAGACACATGGAGAAAGACGCAGACACAGACCATGACAGGGACTGCATCATCGGAGAGAGGAGAGCAGGCAGGAGAGGGTGACAACGTCCTCTGCTGCCTGCGGATAAACAAAGGAAGTGACGCCACCATCAGCGTCAGCCTGATGATGTTTGCAGCCGCAAACGAAACGTTGCAGGTAAATAAACCTTTTCTGTGTTTTAAAATGAACTGAAAGATGGAATTTGAAACTCAACACAGCAAGAACACACCAAAGATGTTTAAAAATAAATCAGGCATGTTCATAAATTTGGTCACCACATAAAAGAATAATATTATATATGTTATATAATATATTTATTATATATTATATATGTGTGACACACTAATGTGTAGTCCCATTAAAACTGTAATGGTTGAAATGAGGAAAAGTGACACTGCTGCTGTCTTTCTTTTGGTTGTAATTACAACATCAAACCACAGGGTGGCGCCTTGAATAGTGAGGCAGAGTAGCAGGGTTAGAGGTCTCCTTCGGCGGGAGCGAGGCAGAGGATTAACAGCACCTGTCATCCCTGTCTCATCTTTTTCCTGTTTTACATGAACATTTAATCTTGTCAACAGGCCCAACTCCTGGGGCTTGTTACATATATAACAATATATTAGCAGAAATAACAGCCTCTAAAACACTTCCTATAGCTTCCAATGAGAGTCTGGATTCTGGCTGAAGGTATTGTGGACCATTCTTCTTTACAAAGCATCTCTAGTTCATTCAGGTTTGATGCTTCTGAGCATGGACAGCTCTAACTCACACCACAGATTTTCAGTAATATTCAGGTCTGGGGACTGAGATGAACATTCCAGAACATTCTACTTGTTCCTCTGCATGAATGCCTTACTTCTAAATGCTTTTTTATATTTTTACTTTTTTTGTTTTTGTGAAGCGCCTCGTGATTTTTATCTTGAGAGGCGCTATAGAAATGATATTTGCTTCTTCTTCTTCTTCTTAGCAGATTGTTAGAAGTGTTAAGGGTTGTTTTCTTGTTGAAAGATCCAGCCTCGGTGCAGCTTCAGCTTTGTCACTAATTCCTGGACATTGGTCTCCAGAATCAGCTGATATTGAGTGGAATCCATGTGTCCCTCAACTTTAACAAGATTCCTGTCCCTGCACTGGGCACACAGTCCCGCAGCATGATGGAACCACCACCATGTTTTACTGTAGGTAGCAGGTGTTTTTCTTGGAATGCTGTGTTCTTTCTCCTCCATGCATAACGCATAACATTGTTTTGTCCAAATAACTTAGTTTTAGTTTCATCAGTCTATAGCACCTTATTCCAGAATGAAGCTAGCTTGTCCAAATGTGCTTTAGCAAACCTCGAGCAGCTCTGTTTGTGCAGTGGGCAGAGAAAAGGCTTCCTCTGCATCGCTCTCACAAACAGCATCTCCTTGTGTAAAGCGCACAGAATAGTTGAATGATGCACAGTGACTTCATCTGCAGCAAGACAATGTTATAGGTCTTTGGTGCTGATCTGTGGGATGACTCTGACTTCTCACCTATTTTCTCTTCTGTTTATCTGAGAAGTTTCTTGGTCTGCCACTTCGAGCCTTAACTAGAACTGAGCCTGTGGTCTTCCATTTCCTCAGTATGTTCCTAACTGAGGAAACAGCCAGCAGAAATCTCTGACACCTTCCCCTAACCCAGGATGGTGAATAATCTTTGTTTTCAGCTCATGTGAGAGTTGTTGAGACCACCATCTTGCTGCTATGTTTTACATTCAGCATTTACCAAGTGCAGTTGTGGAAACAAATTCAGATTTTTTTTGTCAGTTACAAAAGTTGGATGGTTAAAATCCTCATCTCCTCTGGTTTTGTTCTGCCTTGTCTTCCTGCCGCAGTGCTCCTGAGCTAAATCTGGGATCACTGTAATGTATATAGGGCTGGTCCCAGATTAGTAAGTGAACTGGGTTACTTCTTCCAGGGCCTGCTCTGTTATACTTCAGTATCAGAGGACCTGACAGCCTCTGGGGCTTTGCTTCCATTAGAAATCCGTCCCCAGTGATGAAGTGTGCTGAATGGACCAAAAACACAGAGAACAGCATTTGCCGACACATTCTAGTCAGATTTCTATCAAGTATGCATTTGTTTTACTTAAATAATTGACTTTCAAATAATTAAAGCCTATTTTGAGAAAACAAACACCCCGTCAGCAGTTTTAGCCACATCCATTATCACTGAACTGTTGCAGCAAAGTGGGTTGCAGTGAGCTGAGTAATGGGGACGGACCTATTTTTGTGTTTGCAGTTCTCACAGTTTATTTGTGATGGCAGAGGGATGTAGAAGTCACTGGAAGGCAGCGCGAACCATTCGTTCACTGAGCGGCTGGGTGGGGCGGAAGTTGTCCCCCAGCAATCCATCGTTGCCTTCAGGCAGCTCCGCCCCCTTGATGTGGGACCTCAGCCTCCGAAACTCTTCAATCTGCACACAAACGATAAAATAATTCAGCCACAACAGAAATATTTCATCTCTGCTCTTTGTGTGATTTTTTTATTTTTTATTTTCAGAGCATAAATTGATCAGTTAAAGAGTGGACTTGTTGTCTTTTTCAGTCTGAGCATTGAACAAATTCCCTACAAATTTAAAGCATTGACTTCCCATTCCAAATCTGAATCCAAGCCTTTGCAAGTTGTTGAGGTGATTTTTAGTGCATGTCAGAACAGAATTTTGAACAAAACAAGGTACGACTTCCTGTTGCAGTAAATCGTAGCCACTGCAGATTTTATCACCTCACTGAACACACTTTGGGCCCCAAACCGCTGAAACAAAGACCAGATCTTGCACTGTTGCGCCGCTGGCTGAAAGAGGTCTACTGCACAAAGTGCAAAGGCTGTGAGCATAGCAACTGTTGTGCAACATGCAAACACTGCACACACACACACACACACACACACACACACACACACACACACACACACACACACACACACACACACACACACACACATTCTTCTGGAAGTCAATAATAGGCGGATATTTGAAGTGTGTAATCTAGAAAAGCAGGACCTGCTGATTTAGAAAACCTGATGTCGTTCATTCAGTTGTGAAAGTGGCTGGAGTACGACAACAAAACCACCACCTGCAAAAACTAAATAATCATCAAACTCACCCCTCTGCACATATTCACAGGTTTATAATAAGAAAAGCCTAGTAGATATTCTTGACATTCCCTGAAGAAGAAACAGATATCCATATGTCTGATGAGACTGTCTCATTCGCGATGTTTCGCCCGGGCGTTTTGTCGCTTTACAGTGATATGCACATGCATGGGGTGCCATTTGTAAAGTCAAAGAGTCATAATTTAACAGCAGTATTTTGAGTTATGAAGCCAGTTATCTCCTCCTTGAACCGTCACCTTATCGTGGTGGAGGAGTTTGAGTGCCCTAATGATCCTAGGAGCTATGTTGTCTGGGGCACTTAGTGCCCCTGGTAGGGTATCCCATGACAAATTGGTCTTAGGTGAAGGGTGAGACAAAGAACGGTTCGAAGGATCTTTCATGGCGGTTAAAACGAAGAGTCGGAGTACCCGGCCCGGAGGGTTACCGGGGTCCCACCCTGGAGCCAGGCCTGGGGTTGGGGCCCGTGAGCGAGCGCCTGGTGGCCGGGCTTTCGCCCATGGGGCCCGGCCGGACCCAGCCCGAACTGGATACATGGGCTCGTCCAACTGTGGACCCACCACCCGCAGGAGGAACATGAAGGGTCCGGTGCAATGCGAATCGGGTGGCAGACCAAGGCGGGAGCCTTGGCGGAACAATCCCCGGACAAGAAAACTAGTTTTTGGGACATGGAACGTCACCTCGCTGGCGGGGAAGGAGCCGGAGCTTGTGGCAGAGGTTGAGCGGTACCGGCTAGATATAGTCGGACTCACCTCGACACATTGCATTGGCTCTGGAACCCGAGACCTGGAGAGGGGTTGGACACTCTACTTTGCTGGAGTTGCTCCGGGTGAGAGGCGGAGGGCTGGGGTTGGCTTTTTGTTAGCCCCGAGACTCTCTGCCTGTGTGTTGGGGTTTACCCCGGGGGACAAGAGGGTAGCTTCCTTGCGCCTTCGGGGTGGGGAACGGGTCCTGACTGTTGTTTGTGCTTATGGGCCAAATATCAGTTCAGAGTACCCACCCTTTTTGGAGTCCCTGGGACGAGTGCTAGATAGTGCTCCATCAGGGGACTCCATTGTCCTGTTGGGGGACTTCAATGCTCACGTGGGCAATGACAGCTTGACCTGGAGGGGTGTGATTGGGAGGAACGGCCCACCTAATCTGAACTCGAGCGGTGTTTTGTTATTGGACTTCTGTGCAAGCCGCAGTTTGGCCATAACGAACACCATGTTCGAACATAAGGATGCCCACCGGTACACTTGGTACCAGGGCAGCCTGGGTCACAGGTCGATGATAGATTTTGTAGTCGTATCATCTGACCTGCGGCCGTATGTTTTGGACACCCGAGTGAAGAGAGGGGCGGAGCTGTCAACTGATCACCACCTGGTGGTGAGTTGGATCAGATGGCAAGGGAACATGCCGCGTAGACCTGGCAGACCCAAACGCATAGTGAGGGTCTGCTGGGAACGCCTGGCAGAAGAACCTGTCAAGACGGTCTTCAACTCCCACCTCCGGCAGAGCTTTGACCACGTCCCGAGAGCAGTGGGGGACATTGAGTCCGAGTGGGCCTTGTTCCACTCTGCGATTGTCGAGGCGGCTGTTGCTAGCTGTGGTCGTAAGGTGGCCGGTGCCAGTCGTGGTGGCAACCCCCGTACCCGCTGGTGGACACCAGAGGTTCGGGGAGCCGTCAGGCTGAAGAAGGAGGCCTACAGGGCGTAGCTGGTCTGTGGGTCTCCGGAGGCAGCAGACAGGTACCGGATAGCCAAGCGGGGTGCAGCAGTGGCAGTTGCCGAGGCAAAATCTCGGGCGTGGGAGGAGTTTGGTGAGGCCATGGAGAAAGACTATCGATCGGCTCCAAAGAGGTTCTGGCAAACTGTCCGGCGCCTCAGGAGAGGAAGGCAGCAACTCGCTCACACTGTTTACAGTGGGGATGGGGAGCTGCTGACGTCAACTGAGGCTATAGTCGGACGGTGGAAGGAATACTTTGAGGAGCTCCTCAATCCCACCAATGCGCATTCCGAGGAGGAACCAGAGCTGGGAGGCCTGGGGATGGACTGTCCGATCTCGGGGGCAGAAGTTGCTGAGGTAGTCAAACAACTACACAGCGGCGGAGCCCCGGGGGCGGATGAGGTTCGTCCTGGGTATCTCAAGGCTATGGATGTTGTAGGGCTGTCATGGTTGACACGTCTCTACAACATTGCGTGGTCATCGGGGGCAGTTCCTAGGGAGTGGCAGACCGGGGTGGTGGTCCCCATCTTTAAGAAGGGTGACCTGAGGGTGTGTTCCAACTATAGGGGGATCACACTCCTCAGCCTCCCTGGAAAGGTCTACGCCAAGGTACTGGAGAGGAGGGTCCGATCGCTAGTTGAATCTCAGATAGAGGAGGAGCAATGTGGTTTTCGTCCTGGCTGTGGAACTGTGGACCAGCTCTATACCCTTGCAAGGGTGATGGAGGGGGCATGGGAGTTTGCCCAACCAATCCACATGTGCTTTGTGGATTTGGAGAAGGCTTATGACCGTGTCCCCAGGGGCACCCTGTGGGGGACGCTCCAGGAGTATGGGGTGGGTGGCTTTCTGTTAAGGGCCATTCAGTCCCTTTACCAGAGGAGCGTGAGTTTGGTCCGCATAGCCGGTAGTAAGTCGGACCTGTTCCCAGTGAGGGTTGGACTCCGCCAGGGCTGCCCTTTGTCACCGGTTCTGTTCATCACTTTTATGGACAGAATTTCTAGACGCAGCCGTGGTGTGGAGTGTGTCGAGTTTGGTGGCAGGAGAATCTCGTCTCTGCTTTTTGCGGATGATGTGGTCCTCCTAGCTTCATCCAGCTCTGACCTTCAGCTCTTGCTGGGTAGGTTCGCGGCCGAATGTGAAGCGGCTGGGATGAGGATCAGCACCTCCAAATCTGAGACCATGGTTCTCGACCGGAAAAGGGTGGCTTGCCACCTCCGGGTCGGGGGAGAGGTCCTACCTCAAGTGGAGGAGTTTAAGTATCTCGGGGTCTTGTTCACGAGTGAGGGTAGGAGGGATCGGGAGATCGACAGGCGGATTGGTTCGGCGTCTGCAGTGATGCGGACGCTGAGCCGATCTGTCGTGGGGAAGAGGGAGCTGAGCCAGAAAGCCAGGCTCTCGATTTACCGGTCGATCTACGTCCCAATCCTCACCTATGGTCATGAGCTTTGGGTAATGACCGAAAGAACGAGGTAGCGGATACAAGCGGCCGAAATGAGTTTCCTCCGTAGGGTGGCCGGGCTCAGCCTTAGAGATAGGGTGAGAAGCTCGGGCATTCGGGAGGGACTCGGAGTAGAACCGCTGCTCCTCCGGATCGAAAGGAGCCAGTTGCGGTGGTTTGGGCATCTGGTCAGGATGCCTCCTGGACGCCTCCCCGGGGAGGTGTTTCGGGCATGTCCTGCCGGCAGAAGGCCCCCGGGTCGACCCAGGACACGTTGGAGAGGTTACATCTCCAATCTGGTCCGGGAACGCCTTGGGGTCCTGCCGGAGGAGCTGGTGGACAAGGCCGGGGAGAGGACGGCCTGGAGCTCCCTAATTGGGATGCTGCCCCCGCGACCCGGACCCGGATAAGCGGAGGAAGACGAAGGCGAAGACGAAGAAGCCAGTTATAATAGAAAATAATGGGAGTCCATTTTTCAAAGTCATATTTTCACCGTTGTTATTCATAAATGTGTAAAACTAAATCTTTAGCTAGCAAGCTGAATTATTCATTTAGAGTTAAACATTTATTTTACAAACCGAATATTTAGGTCATACCTAAATATTCAGTTTGTAAAATAAACATTTAATTTGGAACTAAATATTTAGTTTACAAACAAATGATTTAGCTCCAAAATAAATATGTACTTTCCAAAATAAAATTGTTTTGTCACAGCTAAGTATTTGTTTTGAGGCTAAATAAATATTTGATTTGAAACTAAATATTTAGTTTGTACAAGCTACAAATTAAATAGTTAGTTAGTAAATGAAATATTAGTTTTCCAAACTAAATATTTAAGTCTAACCTGACTGGAGACAACAGCAGCTCAAGAGGAAGAGGGCTTAATCCAGTAATCGGAAGGTTGCAGGTTCAATCACGGCTCTGACCAGAGAATGCTGCTGTTGTGTCCTTGGGCAAGACATGTAACCCACCTTGCCTGCTGGTGGTGGTCAGAGGGACCGGTGGGACGGTTAGTGTGTCCCAGGGTAGCTGTGGCTACATCGTAGCTCATCCCCACCAGTGTGTGAATGGGTGAATGACAGACTGTTTTGAAGCACCTTGGGGGGTTGTGGAACCCTAAGAAGGTGCTATACAAATACAGGCCATTAACCAAATATTTACTTTGTAAAATAAATACATCATTCTAAATATTTTTTTACCTTGTCAGCTAAATAATTAGTTGGGAACTTTAACATTTATAAATGTATGAACAGCATGGTGGAAATATGAATTATGATAGGCTAAATAACCCAAAATACCTCTGATAAGTTGACTCTTTGACTTTTAAAATGGCATCCCATTCACATATGTATGGCTTTGCTGCAAACAGGAACTAATTTTACCCCCATCTAGAAGCAACAATTCACCCGATTACTTTCTGTGATGCTTTCTGATTGGGTGTAGTGGAAAATGTGTTGTTTATAAAGTCTGTGATGGAGTTCTTCTATTAAAAAAGCAATGTATTGTTTCACATTTTACAAGATTTTTTTTTGTCCTGAAGCAGGAAGGCCAGATGTTTTAGCCTTTTGAAGGGTCAGCAGGCCAAGATGAAAGATATTACTAAATGTCAGAGGTTTAGCGCCACCATCCGTTGCAGCAACCTGCAGGAGGAGTCACCATTCAAGAAAAGGTTGAGTTAAAGTTTACATCATTTAAGTGACAGATGTATTGATTGGTCATGGGTGTAAAGGCCTCCAGGAGCCTGCGGTGGTGAATGCTAGAAAACTGAGTTCATGCTTTTCTGTGATGATAAAAATCAAAGCTGAGCTTAAAGTCTTCATCATACTGATTGTGTTGGGGAAGCGCTTTATTGGGTTGTAAAACCCTGAGAAGGTGCTACACAAATGCAGGGCATTCACCATTTACAACACAGCCTGTTCAGTCAGGAAGGGGAGCAGAAAATAGGAAAATGTAATTATGTCATTTATTATTAGAATATTTTGGATTTTGAAAGGAAAAAGAGGGTGAGTGTTTGTCTGCAGGCTGCACTAGACGCTTTGATGTGTTACCTGTAGCTGTGAGATGGTGAGAGGATAGCGGTAGAGAATCCAGGTCACCTTTTCACTACAAGGCGGCGTGGTCAGAGATCCTTCGTACACCCAGTAGTCTCTCAGTAGTGGGTCTGATGACACATTTTACAGCAAACGTGACATGCAGTCTTTGGTCAGTCACCAGGTGAGTTACAGGTATTGCAAGACTAGTTAATGGCTAGCTGCATGTTATGCTGCATTTGCACAATGAGCAATAAACTGTGCTGCATGTGCATGAAATAATGAGGATGCTGCAACCTCTGAGTGTAAGAGAGGAGGCTTGTGCAGCATCACTGTTCTGTGATGCTCTATAGGACTCGAAACCAGCTCCACCCTTCATCTTTATAAAAAACGTCAGAGTTGGGCTCACCAGGCAGTAGTGTGTTGGGATTAAAACATGGTATTATCTTGTTCTTCCCCTTAAAGAAAGAATTTAATTTCAAATTAATGTGATAATAAATAAGATGGTTAATTATCTTCCTCTAATGACCACCAGAGGAGTCTTACCTTGTACTGCAGGTCCTGTAGAACTTCAGTGATGGCCTTCAGACCCAGGTGCTCTTTGCCAACCTGACACACACACACACACACACACGTTGGTATAACTTGTGAGGACCCGCCATTGACTTCCATTTATTTTTGTGACTCCATTATGCCTAACCCTAACCTAAACTAAAAGTTAATTCACATCATACCTGTAAAACCAATTATTAGGGTTTTTTTCACTGTGAGGACATGGCAACAGTCCTCACATTTTAAAAATGTCCCCATGTTGAGTTGAAAAGTCAAAAATGTGACCTCACAGGTACATACGTATGCAACAGCCCTGTCAGCAACGATTTCAGCAGAGATGAGCAGAGAAAAAGAAACAGGAAGTAGAACTATAACAGGACGCGTGAGGTTCAAAGTGAGACCGAGACCACAGGCGGTCAGAAATGTTTGTCTTCAAAAGAAAATACAGATAAACTGTCAGTTTTTGGATGTGTCTTCTTCAACATCCAGGTAATCGCAGAGCCAAGATATTTTCTGAGTTATTATTCATCTGACATTAACCACACAGAGTATAATCCCAAAACTATAATTTACACTAATGATGGTGGTCTATTAAATTTTTTCCTTACAAATCTTTAAGACTTTACTGTTAATGCAGGGATGCAACCACTTAGGTGCATACACTGAAGCTTAAAGTAAGTTTTAACATATTTGGCATTCATAATCTTCCTTGCATGATGACTACCATCATAACTATCAAATGATTGTTTTGTACATTCACATTTACTTTTTTAAGTTGAATTACTGACACAAACATACTTTTGTGACATATTCTAGTTTTTTCAGTTTCACTTGTAATTCTAGACACAATTTAGAGTTAAAATTATGAAATGGAGCTCTGATATAGTTGTAGATCTTAATTAAGTAAAAAATAACAAAACTAATCAAAACAACCTGGTCGGGGAAGGTTTACCTGCACAAACAGTGCTATGATGAGGACTCCATTCTTCTTCCCCAGAGCATCCTCTAATGAGTTAAACAAAGTGCTGTTCCAGTGAATCAGATGAAGCTGCACATAAAAAAACAAAAACACAGCCTGAAGAGGTCTAACTCTGTCAACAGGTGCAGAAAATACGAGCAGAAAACAAACCACCAGCTGCTAAATAAGTCATACACCAAACCATACCAATTTATTTGTAAAGCACCATTTAAAATAGCATGGCAGCTAGCAAAAATGCTGTACATAAAAGAGCCAAATGCTTGAACATATCAGCAAAAAGCAGTAAAAACATGACAATCAGGTAAAATACATAAAGACATAGCATAAATATTCAAGGACAAAAATTCCTAACAGAATAAGAGAAAAGGTTAAAGATAACAGCACTATCCAAAGTAAAAAAAAAATAATGCAGTGAGTGATAAAAACATTTGAAATGGGATAAAAACAACAAAAACAGCTACAAGATAGTGCAAGGCGTTAAAAAGTGAACTACTGAATCATAAAAACTGAATTAGGAAAAGTTAAACTGGTGCTGGAGGTTCGCATAAAGTGTCATGGAGGTAAGGCAAAGCTGCAGAAGTGTGTTTTAAGGGCAGACTTGAACCTGCTGACAGAGGGACGCACATGGAGGGGCAGAGTGTTCGGAGGGGCAGAGTGTTCCAGAGTTTATAAAAATATAAAATGTAAGGGGTAAATATTTACCTTGCACACACTTAGAAAAGATGGAAAACAGATTTTATATTCAAGGACGCAACAAGCTACACCTATCTGTAGAAAGACGTGCATCAGTGTGGATGTGTATGCCTGTGTGTGTGTCTGTGTGCATGTGAGTGCATGTGTGTGCATGTGTGTTTGTTTGCATGCGTGCATCTTTGTGTGTGGGTGTATGTGTGTGTGTGTGTGCATGCGTGCATGCTTTTGTGTGTGTGTGTGTGTGTGTGTGTGTGTGTGTGTGTGTGTGTGCATGCGTGTTTTTGTGTGAGTGTGTGTGCTTGCATGCCTTCATGTGTCTGTGTGCGCACGCATGCGTGTGTGTGCATGTGTGTCTCTGTGTGCATGTGTTTGTATTAATATATATGTCTACAGTGTGTGTGTGTTGTGTGTAATTATATGTGTGTGTGTGTGTGTGTGTGTGTGTGTGTGTGTGTGTGTGTGTGTGTGTGTGTGTGTGTGTGTGTGTGTGTGTGTGTGTGTGTGTGTGTGTGTACCTCCATGGGGAAAGCCTTGAAGTTGACTGTGTGCTCTGACCCTCTCTGGTTCTCCTTGCCCCAGTGGAATCGAACCTCATGAAGCTCGTACTCATGATCGCTTGGCAGCGGACCCCCGGTGACCACTGACATCAGCACCAGAGGTCACAATCAGTGAGAAACACACACAGGCCATAAGGGTAACAGTGATAGTGAGGTAAACGATCGTTTGCAGTGGGAAAGAATTAATTTTGCTTTTAAAATCAAACATTTAATCAAACAGTTAATGACACCAAAAACTAAATCGTCTTAGGTTAACATCCAGTCACCTGACTTGGACTTGAGAAGGATGCGGACAGTGTGTCCATCGTTGATGACTTCACAGTCTCGACACACCACGTAGTTTGGTGATAACCCAACATCGAGGAGAGAGGGGTCGTACTGAGCCTCTCTGGAGTTCAGGTTGATCGGAGACTGGTACTCGCCATTGGCGGCTGGGAAATGAAGTCCCCACTCTACACCTGTGGGTGAAAGCACAGCAGAAACAAAGGAACTGTGAGGTTTTTCACAGTAAGACATCTCAAAGGATCTTAGATTTGACTTCAGCTATTGTGAAACACTTCACAGACCACAGAGGGTTTCATTTAAGTCATCGGTTTTTGAATAATTTCCAGATTTGATTCAAACTAAATTATACAAACCCCCTGGCTAAACATAAAAAATAAACAAATAATAATTTTACTTGCTCCTTTACTAACAACTGTCATGTGAGGAAATCCCACATGCAAAATGTTATTCATAAAGTCTCTTTGTTTTTCCATTAAACACATATTACATCCTAAGGATGATGCAGGTCTGATCCCTTTCATTCATGGGTTCTCACCCACTGGGCCAAGGTCTGGTCTGTGGGTTGCTTGGTTTTTGAGTCAAACAGAAACATCTTTTTTATACGTACTTTGAGTTGTTTCATTTAGTTTTATTTATTACTTTTATTTTTGTAATTACAAAAAGTGCAAAATTACTATATTTCATTGTACAAGAAGATATTTATTCTTTGTTGCTCTGGACTGTCTCACTTTATTGAGTCCCACTCACTCTAAGTTCCTGGAAATGTTGCCGATGCTGCAGCACTAGGTTGGAGACCTGCGGTTTAACACACATAATCAACTCTCAAATATCATTATGAGCATTATGAGCAACACTTTTCCCATGAATGGGTTTCTCTTCTTTTTTGATGCCTTTTTCATATAAAACACAACTTTTTCTGCCTCCAGACTCCATGCTGCAACAAATAGAGCCAGGAATATTTTTTGAATTTAAAGATGGAATATGGAACATTTTAATTAAAAGCTGTATTTTTAAAAAATAATACCTTGATGGGACATTAGAGGTGTGCAGAATGAATGCACAGTTTCTCCAATAAAAGCTGTACTTAGAAAAATAAATGATCCCAATTTTATTTGGATGGGCATGACCATCGTCATATAAATATTGGACAATGGGTTTCCATAGACTCCAATAACATGTTTTTGAAGAAAAGTGGGAGGTAGCCACCACCGCCATTTTGACCGTGTCACAGGTTCCGTCAAGCTCAGACAATTCCACAAAAGGGAAGAGAGGTAGAGCTGAGGGTGGCGCTGTAAGGCTGGGATCAACTGACGACACCCGGTCGAACTAGCTACAAGCTAACCTGAAGCTAACCCAAAGCTAATGCGGAGGTGGGAGCTAAGCTAACGGAGGTAGCAACCTAGCTACAACCGGAGTTAATTGTGCACAACACCAGAGCTTCTGAGTCAGAGATACGCCGGGCTGACCGCTGGGTAAAACCGGGTGGAACACAGAGGTCTCCGAGAGCTCCACAAGCCGGCAGCCGCACAGCAGACAAGCGCCGCTGCAATCTGAGATGTGCAGAGCTGCCGCTGGGGAGAACCGGATGGAAAGGTTTCCATCCCAGAGCTCCACAAGCCGGCAGCCCGCGCAGCAGACAGAAGCCGCGATCAGACAGAGATGCACCGAGCTGCGGGGAGGGGATAATGGTGGAAAACATCGGTCCCCCGAGAGCTCCACAAGCCGATAGTCGGAACTCAGCTCCACCAACATGTTATATTTCAACCCATTTTCTAAAGTGCAGCATTATGTTAAATGCACTGGGTTTTACCCTATTACATTTAAATTTCATGGTTAAACAGTACATGTTAAAATCTAAGCTCAGCTCGGCAGTGACCTAACATACATCAATATAATTTTACTTACCGAAAAAAATGAAGTGGAGACTCCTTGGACGCTCTATTAGTGCAATTAATGCCACAGCAAGTAATTTTGTCCAGCAATTGCACAAAAAATATCCAAACAAGAATACACAAACACAGAGACTCAAAATCCCGGAGCAGTTTCCAAGCCAGCCCGAGGCTCTACTGAGTCCTTTCCACGGAGCTAGCTCTGTGGTCACGTGGGTCTGATGCTCATTAATTATACAGAAGTTTAGGCATTTAATACACTTAAACAGAAGAGTGAGAAAAAATTCACCCCTCTCAGAGTTGTCATGAGTGTAAACTAGATCATTTAAACAAAAAACATGTTTTGGAACCAGGCTGTAAACATGTTTATTCCTGCTGTGAAATTGGTATTTTTAACATGGGAGTCAATGAGGATTTGCTCGCTTCTGACACCAACCCCCAGCGGATGAGGGTGGAACTGCAATTTTTGTCACTTCCACGTTGGCCTCAATTTTTCACCCGCATTGTGGGGGCTTGGGCATGACACTGGGTTTATGTTTACATCTACTAGCGAATAGGGGGATGCTGTTGTCCACTTGACAAGGCGAAGCTGGAACTGTCTAGCAGCTGATTCTGAGCCCAGAAGATGTTCTAACAGTAAATACTTTTGTAAAATAAACATATTCGTAGAAATATGTCCTTACCCTGTATGATTCATCACTGGAAATGGTGCTGACTGGTCACTTCATATATCAGCAGTGAACCAACACCCCAACAGCTGGAAAATGTGTTCTGTTGTTGCACTACCATCTCTAAGCACTAGATGTCACTATAGAATCCATGTTCCATATTCAACCTTTAATGCATGAGCTTCTCCTGTAAACAGGCTATTTCTCCAATAATGGGGTTTTCTTTGACCAGCAAATGTGTTTAACATTTTTTTCCTCTAAGAGCTGTAAAATGTTCACATTTATTTATGTTTGTCCATAAGATTTCTGCTGAAAAAACAACACTAGGAATGAGTCCTCTCCTGTTGCAGCCATCTTTATTTGCAGAGTGGAGAAGTGAACGGATGAACTGCTATCTGATGCCACCGCAGGTGCAGACAGAGTCCCAGCATGCAAGGATGACTCTGATACATGTTATTTAAAAAGTTGAAACACCTAAATTTACACATGAAACATGCATTTTTACCTTTCTACTGCATGGTTTGGTAATACCCGACATCAAGGAGGGAGGTCGTACTTAAATGTCTTTCTTTCTGTGATTGTGTTGGTGGGACATTCAAGCACATTCAATCAAAACTAAACATATTGTGGTTGCAGAAAGAGGGTCAGGCCCTCTCATCTAGGGCAAATAAAGAAGAAGAGCTACATGCAAGCAGAAGATAATACAGATTGTAGTATCCGATAATGAGCAGCATCTCCTATGGTCTGAGCAATAATGACACTGACAGTTTTCATGTGAATACCACTGCAGAGAGGGGGGGGGGGGGGGGACTTATGAGGTGCGGTTTGTAAAGTCAAAGATTCATAATTTAAAAGCAGTATTTTGGGTTATTTAACCAATTAAAAGAGGAGGGGGAAATGGGAGTCCATTTTTCAAAGTCATATTTTCACCATGTTATTCATACGTTTATAAATGTTAAAGATCCAAACTTAGCTCGCAAGCTAAAAATTTAATTTGGAGTAAAACATTTATATCACAAACTAAATATTTAGGTCCGACCTAAATGTTTAGTTTGGAAAATAAATATGTAAATCTAATTTTTTTTACCTTGCTCGATAAATATTTTGTTGTGAACTTTAACATTCATAGATGTATGAATATTATGGTGAAATTATGACTTTGAAAAAAGTTTACTCCCATTATTTTCTCCTGTGATAGGCTAATAAACCCAAAATGACATTACAGATGACAAACTTGGTGTGTTTTAAAAAGATGAACTAAACATAAAATGCTGAAAACACACATTTCTCCCTCCAAGTTCCTTTGAGTGTGTCTCCCTATAGCGCAGGGACAAACCCTCCACAGTGGTGGACTATTCTCTCCACAGCTAAGCACGGAGATGTAACATTCCCTCTTTCCTCAGCAACTAAAGCCATGACAACAGTTTTCTGAACACGTGAGGGTCTCACTGCAGAACTGAAAAGGCTTTGCAAAGCTCTGTGTGCATGCAAGGCTCTTGCATAGAATCTTCTCAGACAAAAGCAACAGATAATGCAGGATTTGTCTCTTTTTCACACTGTATGCTCATGACACTGTGGTAAACAAATGTATACTTTATTTCACTGGAGCCAATTTCTTATTAGTTAAAAACTGCTAAAGTCTATATGGCCTCATCCCTATGCTGTTAAATAAACCAGGCTGTGAGAAGGCATCCCATAATGCACCTCTCTTTGCATCCCCTTTCTACTCATGTATTTGTGCTATTTAGCTGTTTATCATGATGCTTTTCTTTCCCATCGCAGATTCAACTGTACTTTTTTATTGTTTGAAACCCTTTGCTGTAGAAATTGACATTTATTTAAATAACTAATTTGCAGAAAATCGCGACTGGAAAAATTTTGTACAGCTTTCTACTAAATTTGTATTAAAGGGAATTAAATAGAACTAGAACAGAATAGAGTTGGGTTTATTTTGTTTATTTTTATATCATATAAATCTATAATATCACAAGAGCCCTACGCAGTTATCATTTCTAAAATGTGTCAAAACAGACACATTTTATTAAAAATCTGATTAAATTGCAGTAAAATATGTGAAACTATTTAATCTTATTCATGCACAGAAATGTTCCTGATCAGTCAGCATACTCACAGTAAGAATCACAGAACGGAATCAGTTCATCCTCCGACGCTCAGTAAAAACAGAATGAGGGAAGACAAAGTGAGACAACACAAGAACAACACCCTTTGGTTTTTATAAACCACTAAAGTTCTGGTTACCGTGTTTAAGATGAGAGTGTTTCCCACCTTGTTATGTAAAAATCAGCCGCTAATGTTTTCTCTAGCTCCTGCAGCAGAGCGGGCTACGCCTCGTCACAGCAGCTGTTTAGTGTCACATTTCTTATTTGTTTTAGATAAACTGACTTAACAGATGATTAAAAGGAAACTTTATCTACTGTACACACAAAGACTGTGTCTAGTTCAGTGGATCCCAACCTTTTTTTCATGAGGGCCCCCATTCCTGTGTCCAAGACAAGCCAGGGCCCCCCAACCCCAGCTCCTACCTGCATGCACACAATCAACCTTTCTCAGTGGCCTAGTGGTAGAGTGTCCGCCCTGAGACTGGGAGATCAGGGGTTCGATTCCTGGTCAGGTCATACCAAAGACTTTGAAAAAATGGGACCCAGTGCCTCCCTGCTTGACACTCAGCATTAAGGGGTTGGATTGGGGGGTTAAACCACCAAATAGTTCCCGAGCGCGGCTGTGTCTGCAGCTCACCGCTCCCCCAGGGGATGGGTCAAATGCGGAGAACAAATTTCGCACACACACCTGTGTGTGTGACAACTACTAGGACTTTAACTTTACCTCACCAAAGACAAAATTATAGGTACCCCAGCAATCTTACGGGAACCCCCTTGGGGGTCACGAACCACAGGTTTGGAACCACTGGTCTAGTTCATCAGCCAATAGTAAATAAATAATAGTACAGATTACTCTGAATGCGTGCACGCATGTGTGTGTGTGCTGCATGTTTAGATTGTAATGGCAGTAAGAACCTGTATTATGCTAACTGCAGTACACCATAGGAAATCTTTACCCATGTATTTCAATGTGAAGCTATCAGATTTATAATCAATGTGTGGTCTGTTGATTATACTTTTAATTGTAATTTATAATCCTTGTTTTGCTGTCATATTAAAAAGTCTTTGTTTGGAAAGGATTAAAAGAAAGTAAGGTAAAAATATTTTAAATCTTTTTGGGGCTAAAAGTCTCAAATATTCTGTCCAGAAGGCTTTTTTGGTCAACCTTGAGCAACTTGCAACACATGGGAGTAAAGCCAACATCTCTTTGCACATGTTGTACTGGTAGAAAAAGGTACATTTCACTGATCCAAGTCCAGGTTTTGAAGAATGCAGAAGAACACACACACACACACACACACACACACACACACACACACACACACCATCTTTTTCTCATGGTGACCAGCCTACCTTCCTCGTAGCCCCAGTCCAGCTCATCCTTCCCAGAGATATAATCGGACTCTACGTTGACGTGGTTGGCCATGGTTCTTAGCAGTGAGTAGAAACCAGTCTGCTGTCCCAGTAAACTCCCAGCCTCACTGGTTTTCTCTGTTCACTTGGATGCAAAGTGAAGTATTTGCTGGATAAATTCCCAGTAAAACATCAACTTTTTAAAACTACTTTATTCAGTTCCTCTTTTTTCATTCTATTCTTTATCCTCCTCTCTGCTCTGGAGCTCTTGCCCTCTTAAAGCAACTATAACAGATGAGAACTCTTGTTTCACTTTTCTGTCGCTCCTCCTCCTCTCTCTCTCTCTCTCTGCTCTTCTGCTATCTGTCTCCCCTCCTCTCTTTCCTCCTTCCTTTCTTTGTTTCCTTTTCTTGCGGGCTGCAGGTGTGCCTGCCTGCCCACCATGGCTCTCTTCCAAATGGTCACAGGCAAGTGTTTGTTTGTCTTCCACCCCACCACAGACTTTCCCTCTTATCCTGGGTGGAAATCAATTGAGTTGCAGAAAATTTAGTTCAGTCCTTCCAGGTTGGTCTGAGTTCTGTGAATCTTTTTTAAGGGTGAGTCCTGTCTATGTTTTGAATGTGCTTGTGCTGGAATGCAAGCAGGAAGGTCACACTGGTGTTTTCTTGGAGGCCCCAGACCCACCCTTGGGTGAAGGAAACAGCAATGATTAAAAAATAGACTGAAAACAGCAGGAGGTGTAGAAAGAAAGGGTTGACTGTTCTACCTTGATGACTTCACGATGGATAGACAAAAAAAGTAGAAAATTCACTTCTGGTAAGCTGTTCTAATGAGAAAAGGTTGATCAGTGACATTCAGAATATGATGTATTTCAGAGAAATGTGTAGAAACTCAAAAAGAAGAGTTTGTTCATTTGATTTTTTTTCTACATCCATCTCCTCCAGGCTGATTATGTTAATTACCCTACATTCTTTATCTGGACAGTGTCCTTGGAGCCATCAGAATAAAGTCAGCCTCCCTTGTTTCCACGCTCTGAAAACAGAACATACAACATCTATACGCATGTGGTCTACATTTGAAACTTCAATCAACTTTTTAATGCCTTAATGCAGATATGTTGTGATGACATGACTTCTGCATCTGCCACAGAAGACATGTCATAGATGTTTATGTAGGTTTCACTTTTGGTGACAAATAGTTTTGGACCTTGAGTTTAGTAGCAAATCAAATGAAACTTGTACGCAATATTAAGCTGCACCGAAAATTTTAAAAAATGCACTTATATATGAAAAGAAGGTTTATCATTGTAAAGATTCAAGAGAAAATCAGGATTTCCTCTTGAGTCTTATGTGGCTGAATAAGTCTCCACCTGGTGGTCATAAAATAGAATGCAGGTCAATATCACACTGAACTACAGCCTCCATGTTTTACCTACAAATAAAATCCATCACAATCCGTCATGTAAACATGATCATAAGTCTAATTGTATGTTATAAAGTTAGATATTTTTTCTAAAACCTATGTTTGAATATCTGAATTGACTTGGTAATGAAACGTGCAATTAAAATGGAAAGGAAGGTCTTTATAACACCGGCAAGTCCAGCAAGATGTGTGACCTACTGTGAGGAAAAAGTGAACAATAGAGCAACACAACAGGCAGCTCTTATGAACTTTCACTTTATTCAGTGAGGGAAATTGGAGGTGGTGCACGAAAACAGAGAAATGCCTTTGTCACTTTTAGGAGAGGAGGTTGGACCCAGGATGCAGAAGTACCCAGAGCAACTCAAAGGCAGGAGAGGTTTTAAGAAAAACAATTCCTTTATTTAAGGAGGATGTGTTGAAAAGTCCAAAGCACAAAATAAGACTAACATTCAAAAACTTGAAAACTCAAAATTAACAAAGCTCACACATGAGCTCGGAGGGACTCGGGGGGGGGGGGGGGGGGGGGTCCTCAAATGCTTTCAGTTTAAAAAAAGGACACAGCAGGACAAGATACAGTTTCTAAAGGAGAAAGGAGTGTGTTTTGGAAGTTTAGAATATGTACACACAAGCAAACTTTGTGGAAATCGTTTGGATTGTGAAGTGTGCCACAGGAAACATCCATCTGTCCTGCATGTGGAGAAGGAGGATACCACAAGTATAATCCCTAAAGAAACTGTGAGTACTGTACATGAGCTGCAGCAGACGTGTGTTCACATTGGGGCTGGTGAAGAGGGCACAGCTGTTTTCCCCATTGTGGCTGTGCAGGTGAAAAGTCAGAAAAGTAATAAAGCTGTGCATACTTATGCTTTTCTGGACCCTGGGAGTTCTGCTACTTTCTGCACTGCAAGTCTGGCTGAAAGGCTGGGAGTAACAGGCAAAAGCTGCAATGTATTATTGAGAACAATGGGACACACTAAAATCAATAAAACCCATCACCATGTAAGAATGATGTTGCTAAGTGGCCATATTTGAGTAGCATTGGACAACCTGATGTGGATGCAGATGTGGAGTTACTCATCGGCACTGATTCTCCCAATGTTTTGGAGCCATGGGAAATAAAAAACAGCCAGTGTGGAGGACCACTAACCACATATCTGTGGAGCACTTGAAAGACACGTTAATGCTACAGTACAATCATGACTTTAATGAAAGAATAAACAATGAACAACCTGAGATGACGTCTACAACCAGATACAAAAAAGCGGAACAAATGTTCTCTGAGCTTGAAGTGTGGAGTTGTGTTCCAGAGAGAGACTGGCTGGAGATCTATGAGGATGTCTTGTTCTACCTGGCCAAAAAAGAAAAGGAGTAAGCCAAGCAGCTGAGGATGAGGAACTGGGAGGCTCTGAAGAACATTCTAGACTACATGGCCAACGTCACATACCGCACCACCTGGTCTAAGGCGCAGCAGTATCTGCTGGACAACCCCACGTTTGCTGAGGATGAAGAGCTGCAGAACATGGATAAAGAAGATGCCCTGATCTGCTTTGAGGAGCACATCCATGCCCTGGAGAAAGAGGAGGAAGAGGAGAAACAAAAGACTCTTCTCAGATAAAGACGACGACAGCGCAAGAACAGGGAGTCCTTCCAGAAATTTCTGGATGAGCTCCACGACCATGGCCAGCTCCACTCCATGTCTTCCTGGATGGAGTTGTACCCGGCCTTGAGCTCCGACATGCGCTTCGCCAGCATGCTGGGTCAGCCTGGTTCCACTCCACTGGATTTTTTAAACTCTACGTGGAAGACTTGAAAACTTGTTACCACGACGAAAAAAGAATCATTAAAGACATCCTGAAGGATAAAGAATTCTCGGTAGAAGTCAACACCAGCTTTGATGATTTTGGATCAGTGGTCAGTTCAGACAAAAGAGCCACCATTCTGGATGCTGGAAACATCAAGTTGGCCTTCAACAGTCTTCTGGAGAAGGCTGAAGCTGGTGAGAGGGAGCAAGAGAAGAAGGAAGCCTGCAAGATGAAAAGAAAAGAAGCTGCTTTCAAGACCATGCTGAAGCAGGCCACGCCACCTCTGGAGCCAGAGGCATCATGGGAGGATGTCAGAGAAAGATTCCTGAAAGAGTCCGCCTTTGAGGATGTGACACTGGAGCCGGAAAGGAAGAGGATTTTCAAAGATTTCATGCATGTTCTGGAGCACGAGTGTCAGCATCACCATTCCAAGACAAAGAAGCATTCAAAAATGTCCAAGAAGCACCACAGGAAACAATCCCGCTCTCGATCGGTTTCAGAGTCTGAGGATGAGGAGTATCGCAAGAAGAAGAGGTCACAGCCCAAATCTCCCTCAGAGCGCTCATCGAGTGGAGAATCTGCGAGAAGCTATAAAAAATCCAAGAAGCACAAGAAGAAGGGCAAGAAGAGGCGCCACAAGTCTGCATCACCGGATTCTGACAGCAAGAAGAAAGGAAGAGACCGTGACGAGAAGCGTGAGCGAGACTCAAAGAAGGATAAAGAGAACTACAAGTCTCAGGCTAAATCTCGCTCCGAGTCCAAACAGAAGTCTCCTAAAAGAAAAGCAGCCAAAGAGGATGGGCATGCTGAAGATCCAAAGATTCTGGCTTAGTTCTTAGGCTTCAGTCAGGAAATAGCTTATTTGTGCTAATGCTATGGTTAATTGCGGGTGAAGTACCTTCGCAATTAGGGGCTGGGTTGTTGAAGCTATTTAGTTTATTATAGGCTTAAGTTATAGCCTAGTTTATTTTCTTTATTTTATGCTAAAGGTAATTTGTTTGTTTTGCATTATGCTTTTTATTTATTATTTTGGCTAATTAGTTTATTGGTCAGGTGTGGGTGATTATTGGTATAAATAGGTCATGGTGGGTGGAGCAGCCAGAGCTGCGAGGGAACATGGTTTTTTACCACACAGAGACAGAGGACGCAAAAATCTGTGCTCTTGCTACTTGAGTGAATAAACCACCACCAAATACAATTTTGGCATGGACATTGCTTTATTTGAAACCTTTTTAACCCGTGCGTAAAGCCTAGCCCTTGACATAGCCCAGTGGCCATTTGAAAGTATTTGATTATTTTTTATCCATTCTTTCATTCTTTTTTAAACACAGAAACAGTTTTGTTTACCTGTTTGTAGCTACAGTTTCGCCGACGGCTGCCGGCTTCTTCAGACTGACGCTGATGGTGGCGCGTCACTTCCTTCTCCGTTTATCTGCGGGCAGCAGAGGACGTTGTCGCCCTCTACTGCCCGCTCTCCCCTCTCCGACGATGCAGTCCCATGCGTGGTCCAGCGTGTAAACTCCGTCGTCCCTGTTCATGGTCCCACATCCACGTCTCCTTATCTCTATTGCTTCCTTGGGTGAACCGTTATCAGCCACCCTGTGCGAGTTTTTCATGGAAGACTTAGAACAAAAAGCCATAGCCACTGCCCCCCCAAACTGCAAAATAAAACTATGGAAACGCTACGTGGATGACATACTGGAAATCATACCAAAAGGCCAAACAGAAACACTAACACAACACTTAAACAACATTGACGACACGGGCAACATAAAATTCACTTATGAGTCAGAAACAGAAGGCAGCATAGCATTTATGGATATGAAAATCACCAGACAGACCGACGGGACCCTAAACATAAACACATACAGGAAACCAACACACACAGACCAATATCTATTATGGACATCAGAACACCCCACCATACACAAAATGTCAGTAATCAGAACATTATATCACCGAGCAAACATAATAACAGAAGAAAGAGACCGTAAACAAGAGGACAAACACATACAATACGCTTTAAAGACCTGCGCATACCCGACATGGGCGATACACAAAGGAAAACAACAAACAAAAATAGAAAGCAAAGAACAACCCAAAAAAAGAACCAGAAACCCAGAAAGACAAGAACCAAAACCAGCGATAACCCTACCATACATCAGAGGCATAACGGAAAAAATTAGAGCAACAATGAAAAAACACGACATAAACACACCAACAAAGCCATACACAACAGTTAGAAACAGACTAGTACACCCAAAAGACAAAATATCAGCTGGACAAAAATGTGGAGTCATCTACGAAATCCCATGCAAAATATGCAATAAAACATACATAGGAGAAACCGGACGCCAACTCAACACACGAACAATAGAACACAGAAAGGAGTGCGAGAAAGAGGCAACTCGTAAACACACAAGAGCAGCAAAAGAAGAAGCAGAAAGTACAATAAAAAAGTCAGCCGTAACAGATCATTGCTTAAGAGAAAACCATATAATGGACTGGGACAACACACGGATCATAACCACTGAACAACA